TGATTGTACAGGCCCTTAATTTTCCCTTTTGTTTCCTCCTTTTGAGCTTGTGACGGGGATGTGGGAGGCTGGACCAAGGCCCCGGTAGCGCTGCGTCGGTGGTCGAGAGAATGCGTCGGAAGAGAAGATGGAGTCGGATTCGGCGCCGACAAACGGTGTCTGGGAACAACGAGCGAGGGACGCGAAAGAATACGCCGCACTAGGTTGCAAAAAAGGGTGAAGCAAAGGCGACCGAACAGCAGAGAGCGGAAGAGAGCACGAGAGGTGAGGCGATGCGGAAGAAAAGGACGAGGATGCGTCAGGACGCGGAAGTGCAGCCAAGTCTGGCATGGAAGTGGTCCAGTTGGTTTCTGGAAAGGCCCCCAGCCCAGCGCAGAGTCCGCTATCCGCGACTCACTCCAGGCCCTTTGCTCGGGGCTCCCCAGCTCGCTGTGGGCCAGTGGGGACAGGCCGCTTGCAGGGCGCCAGGGCTGGCATTGGCCGATGGTGCAGCACCGCTTTTGCGCAGTACCTGCGCCGCTACGGCGCACAAGGTAGGCAGTACTTGGCGCATGTGGCACAGTGCTGGGTGCTGCTAGCGGTTTAGCGCCCAGGGTTAATGCTGGCCGGCTGGCAAGGCTAGCAGGTAGTGCTGCACTAAAGCGGCGCCTGCACAGAACTCGCTCGCTGTGGGGGAGGGGAAGAGGCCAGCCGGTTGAGTCTGGGCTGCATGAGGCGAAGGAGAAGCAGGCTGCTGGGGGCAGACGAGACGAGACGAGAGCGAGGACGGCAAGCCTGTGAGCAGGTGCCTGGTGGCACCGTACAGTATAGGATTCAACGCCGGCGGGATATCAGTTCCCGAACGAGGAGGGACGGGCCTTTTGTCTGCTGCTTTGCTGAAGAACGCCTCGCAGCTGGCGATGATGGCACAGGTACAGTACAACTAAACAGGTTTCATACGATATCAAGATCCACGGAGGGTACCAACTGAACATGAAACATAAAGACGGCTCAGATGGAGAGCAGCGTATTGAGGCTCAGCAGCCGCGGCACGCAATGCTGCACTGAAGTCTCCAGCCCGAGTCAGTTTCCGCCGCTGCTCTGTAAGCAACTTGGGTTCTCATACAGTGACGTGAGTACCTGGTATTTACAGCCAAGGGTGCCACTGTAATCCCGATCCCTCTGGCCGCATGTTGTATGTGCAAATCAATAGATCCAATCAATAACCTGAAATTATTAATTTGGTTGGCCGGTCATTACCTCGTCATGAATCCTCTCTTGTCAAATATAGACCGAGTGTGAGCAGTTGTCGATGCTACGGTGCGATGCTTAAAATATCTCGCGGTCAGCCAGTACCTGGCCTTTGGTAGCATCGAAAGTACTAATTCCGGGCTGTCTTTGACATTGATGCTGTAACCGCATCTGTCGCGCGGCCGATGGGCAGCTTCTGCCTTGCAGCATGCCATCTCGAACCTTGGGATTTGGTCCCCTCCCCCAGTCTCTCGCTAGCAGGATTACTCCGCCATAAACTCTTAATTCTGTAGGTATGCAACAGGTGATACATCATCGATCGAATCGAGGGAGCATGAACAAGCACAAGAGAGGGGCATCCCAGCTGGATGGCTGGACTCTGTCTTTGTCGTATGATGTATCCGGGGTAAGCCACGCGGAGGCATCTCCCACTCGCCTGCATGCGACGGTATGCACACCATCTGGCGTAGCAGCGACTAACGGCCACGTTAGCAGGCATCTGTGATTTCCTCCAGCCGGCCCAGCGAATGTTGCTTGATTCTTGATTCTCAGCAGAAGGCGGCAAAGAAAAGTCAATTCTCCTAGAGCGCTCGCCACGTTCAACGCCTCTACCCCGTTTATTTTTTTCCATTTTCTAGCCCCCCCCCTCTCCAACCCGGTTGGTTCGGGAACGCCTCATTCGTCAGCCGTCTGAAATTGACACGGCGCAGAAAATAGACAAAAGCAGAGCGAGAGAAAGGGAAGAGAGGGAGAGAGAGAGAGAAAAGTACGAGGTCGATATTAGCCGAGCGGGCTGGGCACAAGAGGTAATGACGCCAGACCAGGTTTGCGAGTGGTTTTTGTCTGGTCTCCGCCCTTGTTCGACATGGAATCGAAAATTAACTCGCACGAAACGACAGGCGGCTCGGATGCAACAGTGCCTCATGGCCGTTGATTGCAAGCAGCAGAATTGCCTATCTGCGGAGCATCGCCGTCTAGCAGACTGCACAAGTTGATTCGCCCGCCAGCACACATGACTCCAGCAGGTGCAAGTAGGCCTCTGGAGCTGTGGGTTTGCCTAGCCCTCATCTGGAGCAGCTTCAACAAGGCGCCGATGGCTGCAGGCACTCGCTCAACTGGTCGTTGCTGGATCTCGCCCGTCGCTCACCAAGGCCGTCTGATCATCGCTCCCATCGCCCTTTTCCTCCCCGCCCCCGCCCCGTCAAATCATACTGTACGGTGCCTGTGGCAGCTCCCTCGAGCATGGCGATACTAATCCATAATAGCTGCAACGGTTGAACGGCTGCTTGGCACTAGAGCCAACTCTACCAAGCAATCGTCAACGAATCGCAACAGCCTCTCCCTCGCATAACCTGCCATGGTGTGTGGGGAAGAGCCCCTTGCTAGTCCAAGAGAAATAACGTGGCTTTTGAATGGCGAGGGGCCAGGCCGGGGCTTGAACACCGAAAGACCCAAACAGGACCACGAGCCGGGGGCACCACACGAGGGAACTTTGAAATGCAAGCTCCTACGAGCTCTGCAAGCCATCGAGAGACGGCGCTTGCATCTGTATGCGCGGGCTAGTCCTGATTCTGGGCTCGTCGTACGACCGTTACATGCTTCGTGAACGGCATATGATGGGTGCATGGCTTAGTACAGCGCCTAGAGCCAACACGACGTGCCAATACTCCAGTTATACGCTCACGCGCAGGCAAATATAGTGATTAAACTGGAGGCAACTGACTGCTTCCTCTATAGCGCAGCAACCAACCGCAGCTACAGTAGGTACAACCCTGGTTCTGCAAGTCACGGGCTCTCTGCCTCTGCTTTTTATCCCTCGCTCAAGAACTGAATCTTGGAAATCTTCATGTTTATGCTGCGCTTCCCTACCTGGCTGCCGCCTGTACTGCCCGCTCCACCATGTTAGCTGCCCGTTGCGTCTAACTGGGTTTCACCAAAGACATGCGTATCAAAACGCCCAACACAGACTCTATTATTATAGCATACGGGGCGTCTCTCTTTTCGAGGCATCACAGGCAAGTAAAAGGCCAGGAAGAGAAACAGGGACGCATATCTGGTTCCCGGGCACGCAGTTGACCAGCCCATGGGCTACATGTTCATGCCTTTGCTCCACCAGACGTCATCCTACAGATCGATAATGCGACGATAGCCTGACAACGGCGAGCGCATCATCCCCACCAGCTCCTCCAAGCGCTGGCCTGCAGATTTACTGTATCTTTGCTGCGACGCAACCCCAGCAGGCACGAAATTAACAGTGACAAATTGTGTTCGGCACCCAGATCTGGCTCTCAAAAGAACCACACCGAGCTCTCGCCCAGCTTTGGCCTTGTTCCACTTTGAACGTGAATAAAAGCTCCATGATGAAGAAAACAATACGTCAGCTCAGTTGATGCAAGTATTGAACTTACCTAGAGGTAGGCCGACAAAGCATCACTTTCAGCAGCCAAAACGTCACTTAATAATTTACCCGTCCACCCTCTTTTCGACGGCCAACCACTGCTTTGGGGTCCAGCCTATCACATATCTCATTCTCCTTCAGCCCATTCGGGCCTTTAATCCTTCTTCTCTTTGCCACACCCGAATTGCGCATCCCTTCTCCATCTGCCGTTGGCCGGCGCCCGCTTTGCGCAGCAGATCAGCTTGGCTCTAGAACGCATCGGAACTTGGTCCGTAGGCCTGGTGTTTTACCTGAAGAATGTGAGCGACAATGTGTATGCGCGCATCAACACCTCACTCCCGATTTTTTGCATTTTTGTAGGTATGCGGATAGGGCATTAGGTTTATTTCATCGACGTTATTGAAATGGGATTTAAAATACATCGAAATGATGAAGGGGAGAAAGAAGGCTAAATCGGACATCTTCCTTCAGATGCCTATTACCGGCGTGGCTGTGATCTTTCGTGGTTGGCTGCTGGCCTCCACCACGTCCGACTTCTGCTCTGTTACTGCTTCTATTTTGTACCACCTAGTACTTCCATTGCATACTGCTTTAGCCCCGTACATTTTCTACAGCTTCTGTCACTGCCACAGTTGCTACTGCTACTGCTTACTTGTATATACTAGGTGGGCTACTATAAGCCCAGCCTTCCAGGAAATGTAAGCTTCAAAAATAGCAATATGCGCGCAAGCTACAGTAGAAGAACGCGACTGTGAGTCCTGAAACACAAAGAGGCTTCTTATTTGGCCCTCAGTGTGTATTGTGGTTTACGCTTGACAGAGACCTATATGGATAATTCCTCGACGGTGATTCTTGATTGTACATTACCCAGGCGCCATCACGAGCTCGAAATATATTTTGGGTAAAAATTATATGAATATTGGAATGGAATAAGCGTCACACTCCGACTGTCACTTGATTGACGAATACTCACTGACAGGAAATTGCACGACGGGGAAAGAAAGTTAGGGCCGAGGGTAGAGTAGCCTCGAGTATCACGATATGAGCGATAATGTGCATCCGACTATTTGTCGGAAACCTGGCGATCCCCCTTAAGCTCCCCTAACTTTGTAGGCAAAGCGACCAACTCTGGCTATAACACGCCAAGATACTAGTAAGGGAGATTTACAGTACATTAACATATGTAGCCTAACAAACTTAAGGAAAGACTGAAGACGTAGAATTTCAGGTCGTCATTGAACTTTGAATTTGATACATGTAACAAAAAAAAAAAAAAAGCAAACGTCCACGTTCGCAAATTACTTTATAGCAAATCCCGAACCCAGTTCCAAGCAACTCTCTTTTCACCAGCGTGTCATTGTCCCTCTATACTCTATTTCTCCTTGGGGGGCGGTGCCGGACCACCAGTGGTGGGCAGACCCATGAAGATCTTGAAATAGTCCTATAATTGCAAAGTCAGTTTGAGACCTATAACAACTTCCGCATTCTCTTCCTAGGATAAACTTACGTAAATCATCCACTGGAGACCAGTCAAAGTGCCAATCATGACAATTCTCATTGGCAAGCCGTTCCAGAGTCCCTTGAAGCCGATATCCTTGTAGATGCGACCGACGGCAGAACCAAAACCTTCGCCGGGCTCGCGAACCGAGTTGAGCTTGCTGACCATGACATCTGCGGGGTGAGAAACAATGGCACAGAGAATACCAGCCATGTAACCACCAGTGAAGGAGACACCAGTCTGAGCAGCCTTGCTATAGTCATTCTTTTCTCCGGGCAAGCGAGCGTAGATCATCTCAACAATGGTTTCGAAAGAGGCAAACTTCATCATGGTATAAGGGATTTGTCGGCCCCACAGGGGATAAAGTCCCTTGTAGAGACCGGCATAACCTTCCTTTGCAGTAATCTTGTTGAATCCATCGAGAGCGCCAGTATAGGGGTTTGGTGAGCCTCCCTGCATTCGAACTTTGACAGCTTCCATGGGGCAAAGGGCAATGTCGGCTAAGAATTCAGCAGAAGCTGAGGCAGACAGATACAAGATGGTCTTGTACTTGTGGGCAGCCTCTTCACCAGCCAGGTCGGAATATGTCTTCTTGAAGTATTCATACCATCCATACTTGAAAGCACCCTGCATAGAGTAACCGAAGAAGGTCGGGCTCCAACCGGTAAAGATGCCGCGGATGCCCTGGGCGCGATAAATCTTTCCCCATGCTTCAAAATTGCTCTTGTAAAGCGACGAGTCAACCTGGCGGCGCGTTTTGACGAAATCAAGAGGCGTTACAGCGGTATGAGTGAGACCCTTGAGAAGAGAGACGGATATAAGCCAAGGCGTTTCCCTGAAGACAAGTGAAAGGAATATCAAGGGCTTAATTGACTCACGCATGCCATCAGTCCTCCAAACGTACATGCCGCATAGTACTTTCCAGAGTATAGTTCAATCTTTCCAGCCTTGGCTTGGGCCGCGGAGCTGGCCTTTTCAAATTCCTTGGTAGCTTCATTGCTAAGCTTGACGGCCTTATCTTTGGCATTGTCCACCACAGACCAAGCTCCGTAGAGCTCCGGGCGAGCCTGGAGCGGAGTCGCCTTGGTCTGCGGGCTGTGATACTTCGGCGTTGGACTGTAAAAGTTGCCTTTTAGGACTTCATCTCTAGGATATAGGTGCGCCATGATGGGGAGTGGTAGGCAACCGAGCCTTCCGATTGTTCATCAATCCTAGAAAGATGGGACAAAATCGCGATTAGCACATTGGAGATTATCAATTGTAGGCGATCATGACTTGTCTGAGCCCGAGAAACAAAGCTGCCCTTGTATGAATGACACTACGGCTGCAATAAGGAGAGGGATAGAGATGATAGAATATTGAGTGCTGAAAGTAGCCTCGGGAGGAACTGACGGCCAATTCAGCCACAGGGCGAGAAACTTACAAAAGCCAGTCGTATCAAGGTGTAGCCGTCGGCACGCGACAGTGCTTGCGTAGCAAAGAGGGGATCGCGACACTGAGGAGAGGAGGGGAGAGGAAGCGCGGGCAATGCAATACAGAAAAGGATCGCGCACACGGCGTCGAGGTTTATAAATGTCGCAGCATGGCAGGCGAAACTACCGCGAATTCTGTGACGCCTGCCGGATAAGGCCTGCCGGGCCTAGGCAACGCCCAGCGACTGAAGTGCGTGACATCACTCGACGTCAAGATGCAAAGCTGTAGCGGGAGCTGTTCCATGCGAGCTTGCTCCAGCAAAGTCGAGGTACCCAGTCGCGGCTCGCAGGTACCGTCAGCTACAGACTGGATGCTCCGCTTGGCAGGTAGCCATTTGCCCCACCAATGTCCCGATACAGCTACCGGACATTATAAGACCGCAAGTTCCATGGAACTTGCTTCATGCTCTTATCTCGACGGTTGATCCTGTGGCTTTTCGTGTGATTGTTCCTGTTTAAACTGCGCCATGTTTCCCGTCTATCCGCCGTGATAATTCACAGTTTTACAGCATCGCCATCAACATAGACCAATACTGCTCTGTACAGCCCTGCCAGACGATCGCATCGTTTATGTCTCATCCATGGAACCCGATGCGAATCGATCGGACGGCAGCACGGAACCGCTACAGGCACTGCTCCACTGCCGGAGAGTCACGGCGGGGACGGGTTCGGATTTAAACAAAGCTCCCCTACCGAAAGCATACCTTGGTGCAATGCTGTTGGTGCCGAGACACGCGAGTATGGGGGGCTCTGAAAACAAATGAGGTTACAATCATGTAGTGCCTATCATGAATTTGCACATGTTGATCTTTTCTCACTCTCTGTCCAATACAAAATGCCACTTGGAGCGATGATGTCGAAGCAATCACATGTATCACAAGTTTCAAACGACTTTATATGGCCCCGCCTGATGCTGAGCTAATCACGACTCCCCGCGGTCGGTGGCTCAATTGACCCCATCATATTTGCCATTTCTGCCAAAAAGAGTCAAACCACAGTCACAGCGCAAATAACAGTCTCGACAACAACCACTCCGTCCAAATTTTCAAGGGCAGCACGACAAAGAATACACATCAGTCATGGCCACCACATTAACACAACAGCCTGCTCAGACCGGCCCGGCGACGACAACGGCGCAGCCATTTTCCACAACCTGGTCTTCAAGATATCGAGGCGTAAGTATTTGAAAGCATCGTATTGTCGCATTCAACAAAAGGCGCTCCTAGAGTATACGCCGGGATCCATCCTCGCACTCTTGAAGTTGCGCAACATCTCAAATACTCAATGATTGAAAACCTGTCTGTTCCATCAAACTCAAAAGCTAACCAACATCTCCCAGGCCACCGTCGAAGATCTCGACCCCCCCGCCGCCCTCTCCCTCAACCCCTCCGACGCAATCAACATCGCAATGCTCTCCGCCTTTGAGCGCGAATACACACACCTCACCATTGTCGACTCCGAAACCCGCGCCCTGCTCGGCTACATCTCCATCCCCCACCTGCAGTCCCTCTTGGAAGCCGGCCGCGTCCAGCCCAACGACCCCGTCTCCGCCGCCATGACGAGGTTCCAGCGCAAAGGTCGCAAGTACCAGGTCATCACGCTGCAGACCCCGCTGGAGGAGCTCGAGGCCTTCTTTCGGGGAAACGTGTCGGGGGGCCCGTGGAAGGAGGAGTTTGCGGTTGTCACGGATGAGAATCGGAGGTTTGTGCTGGGTGTGGCGACGGTGCAGGATTTGGAAGAGTTTGTTAAGAGACGGCCGGCTTAAACTTTTCGATTTGGTGAGGGGTTGGAGTAAGCAATCAACGATGAGGAGATGTAAAAAAAAATATTCAAGCAAAATTGCCCTTTCTACGGTTACCGGGAGTGCGAAAGCGTCGCTTGCAGCTCTTTAGGTAGACGGCGTTTGGAAGATGATTGGCATTTATTCAACATGCGTTGGAGGGATATTTGTTTCTCCCCTTTTCACGCTGTGGAAAGTGTGTGAAAAAGGAGAATTTCTTGCTATGAGAGAGCTCATGGTGTGAGCAGGTTATCAACTCTTAGTATAGGGTTCAACACCAGAATCGTAATAAATCATGAGTCTAGATAGGAAGACGATATCAAAGACATGTATGCTTTATGATATAGATTTATCCTGAAATAACTGAAACGAAAGCTTTCTTTGGCCTTAACTATAGTCTAATGCCACGCTTTTTCTCTGCCATCTAGCTCTTTTGTATGATGCGATATCAAATAAGAACAGCAAATCAACTCATCATCCTAGTCATATACCTTCATACTCTCACCATACATCCCGCCACTTGATCGATATTTCTCGTTTCCCATTCCTTACTCATCATCATTGAAGTCGTAAACAAGTCGGATCTGAGCCCGCTCACTTCCCTTAGTCACGACAACATTTCGGCAGTACCTACGCTCGCCGTTGACGAGCTGGAAGCCCCAGACCTGCTCGGCAGTCCAGCCCTTCTCCTCATTCTTGGCAGAGTTTGTGATAAACAGACCGTCGCCCTCAATCTCCCAGCCCTTCTTGAGGAACTCATCCGTGACCTCGTCCAGCTTCGCCCAGCGGCTGCGGCCCTTGACGTTGCCAAACAGCCAGTCGGAGTGCTCGCGCTCAAAGTCGTCAAAGCAGCGGTCCTCCTGCGTGCTGGACAGGCCCGAGGCAGACTGCGTAATGTCGATGTGGGAAACGACGTCGGCGGCCGTGTTGGGCGGGCTGGGAGGGCCCTCGTACTGCTCTACCTGGATGGTGATGGTGGCCAAGCCGATTCCCTTGCGGATCAGGTAGCCAATGCCCTGGAGGGCAAGCACCGGCTCCGAGGAGTCAGAAAGGGTCTTGTTCTAAACGTTTAATGCCGCGCCGGCGCTCTTTGTTAGTGGAGATGTTCCTTTTTTTTTTTTCCAAGTTTCCGTGCGTGCTGATGTCATTTTGCGGGAGTGCGACTCGAGATGATGTTATCTCCCCGGATGACACGGAGGCCATAGCTTCTCTCTGAGTCGCACAGCTTTGCATCGCTCTCAAGAAATCGTTTTATACCCCTCTCTCTGTGTGTGTGTCGCTTCTGCGCCGCTAATTAAGCTCCTTTGCCTTCCAAAACAGCAGCACTTGGGGCCTCGCCGTCTTGGAAGCGCGATTGGCGCAGCAGCTTGCACAAAAGGCGGCAAAGAGCAGCAGCTTGTGGTGGGGGAGGGGCAGCAAATTCCCTCTTGAAAGCGGGCGCAGTACAAGCAGGGGGAAAACACGAGAAATTGTGATGGAATGAGCAGGGAAGGGGTTTTTAGGGGGGGGGGGGGGGTTCCGGTTTGTGAAATGGGACGGAGTGCTTCTTACCATGGTCCATTTGCCAGTGAGGTTCTTGGCGGTCTTGCTTGATGGAGCGGCCATGGTTGCGATTGGTATAGATGAATATCTCGAGCTTGATTAATGAGAGGAGGAGGTGCGATCAGAGCAGCAAAAGGCGATAGAAAAAGGATAGAATTGGAAGTGATGTCAACAAGAGACAAAGTACTTATAGAACGCCCGGCGTGTTCAATGCTGCGACAGGTGGAACTATCACATGAAGCTTTCTTGTGCTGATGGCGCAGCGAAAAGCAGCGCTGGTCATCATTGACCCGAGGCGTTCGTGCTAGTCCTGGGAAATGGCAGGCAAGCACATGCGCTCTGCAGGCCGCGCCCCGCCAAATCTCCCCCACACCCTGCTACGTGCCTGATGGTACAAAGAATACTTGTGGCTACATGCTTACAACGACAAGGGATTGGATATTCTGCCAGCAGATCATTATTTGGATCTTTTGGTTGCCTCATTTGTAATTCAAATCCTGATTGAGACCGACACCTACTGTTTTGGGCGTAGGTACAGCGCCAAGGCACCAGCCCACACCCAGACATTGTCTCCTAAGCAAGGCAAGCTCACAGGGAGAACAAAGATGAACAAAGCTAGGAATACAGACTAGAGATGGGCCAAGAAAAAAACATACATGTTTCCGCAAGATAAATTCATTAATCAACAAGTTCCAGAGAAAAAAAAAGAGTAAAGAATAATCCATCTCCATGTAGATACTACAACTGGACAAGTAGATACTAAACCATAGAAACAACCATTACCCGCATTCCAACAGCTTCTCCACCAGTCCTTCACGTCTTTAGAAAGCCGAAACCAGAGACAAACAAGGTCATGAAAAGTAAAAGAAAAGAAGAAGAAAAGAAATTGTAATAAAAAGACAAGCCCAGCATCTGTCATTGACCTCAGTTTCCAGACGGATATCATGCTGCTCTCTCGGAACCCTGTGGATATCTATTGGTACATTAACGAACTCCCTTTCTGGCTCGCTCTAAATCTTCAAGTCATTATCGCTATGAATGCAAGACCGTCACACATGGCTTTTGTAGGTTCCGAGGGTCATTCATGCTCGTCCACAAGCTGTTCAACCACAAGGTTTGCGTAGGCATCAATCAGCCGCTTGCTCTTTCTCAGATATGCGTACTTGCGAAAGCAATAGGAGCCCCGGTGTCGAAGTGGCTATAATTCTGGCTTCTCACACTCATTTGCTGCGTGGTGTTTTGCTTGTTCTTGCCCTCATGGCCACCACTTCATCCTCTTGTAGCTCTCGATCACTTCCTCAATCAGCTCCTTTGTGACGGCGGGTTTCTCGTACTTGAAGCCCAAAACAGTTTCCAGCCGGCTACCGTCCATGCTGAGGTCTGTGTCTTTGAGAAGCTCCTTCTCCATAAAGGGTGTCAGGGGGCCGGGTCGTGTGATGCCAGCATCAGCCAATAGATCAGCCCAAGGGCCGAGTACCTCGTCATTGACATCATCCACCACGCTTTCCAGGTTCAGCTTCGCAAAACTACTAATCAACGTTCCCTGGAATCCCGTTTCGATTTTGAAAATCTCGCCAATAATTTCAGCCATGGTTCCCTGCGTGGTGGTGCCCTTGTCCACTACGTTGAAAATCGGCACTTTGCCCATCTCGGCCTCTTTCCAGTTGGCTTTGCCAGCGTCGTACCAAACGGCAGTGTCCCAAAGGGCTCGTGTTACGTCGTGGATGTGCGCCGTGTTAGTCCGCAAGTCCTTGGTCCACAGCCACTTCATTTCTCCTTCGATGTGCTGGTAAACGCGAGCCATGCACAGGGCCGTTGCAACCCACTGAGAGGCATACGGACCATATACATGAGCTAGGCGGACAATCGCAAGATTAAGCCTGTCGATATGGCATTAGTAAGGACAGGCTGAAAGAGGAACAAGCCCGAGAGGCTTCCTTGCTTGACCTACCCTTCAATCTTGGCGAGCTCCTCCTCTGCCTGCAGTTTGAAAACGGCAATCTTGCTCCACGGCTTCAATTTGTCCCCCTCTTTGCTCGGCGATGAGTCGGGCTTGTACACCATGCCTGTGCTCAGCTCAATAAAGGCCTTTACTTTCCTTTTGGCGGCCTCCTTTGCGACAGCAATGGAAAGCTCCAAGGATCTCAGCTTGTAAATTTCATCTTCCTGGGAATATCTCGTCTCGCCACCGCAGTTGAAGACATAGTCCCACTGTTTGCCGTCGGATCGGTCAAATACTTTAACTAGAGCCTCTGTTCACTGGTTAGCAACTGGCGGACTCATCAGACGAACTGAGGGGCATTAGGTGGGAAAACAGTTATTTACCTGGTTTGCTGGCATCGGCTTGCATAAAGTTGCTCTGGGAGCAAGCCTCGGAGAATTCAGGAGCCAGCCAGGCAAGCTGGGGCAGCACCTTGTCAACGAGTCGCATCTCGGACGCAAGGTTGTTCTGGTGAATGTGTTGGGCGAGGAAGCGGCCGATATAGCCCAGGCCTCCAATAATGAGGACGGACGGCTTCTCTTCAGCCATCTTGAAGCTCGTGCTGAGGCGGTCGAGGAGGCGCGAGACTGGGTGGTATCGAGAAAGGTCGACTGAGTGCAACAGCTGCGGGCCACGGTTTCGAGTTGGCGGCTGTGCTGCTTAATCCTCTCCTGAGCCCTCTGTGTTTTATTCGAATCAGACAAGGAGATGAACAAACGTCGGGTGTTGCTTGCTTGCTCTGGTGTTCGCTCGCGTAGCCAGTCTGCTGCGGCCAGGATGGGATGGAGAGGAGAGGAGGAGAGGGAGGTCGCCGGGCTGCTGCCTTGGGTCGCTGCGGCGTTGTCGTCTCGGTACAGGGTGCCGGATCACCCAGGCAAGTGCCGAAGGAGAAAAGGAAGAGGCAGAGAGTTGGTACAGGCGCACTGTGCGTGGGATGGAGGCCGAGGCGGAAGCCGAAGCGAAGGCAAGAGAGACGACGGGCAAGCTTTTGTATCTCGCGGGTGGTGAGCGCAGGTGCCTGAGACGGAGGGATGGGTGGGTAACGGACAACTAAGGCAAGGCCAGGCAAGGCGAGGCGAGGCAGCGAATCGAGCGAGCGAGGGGCTGCTGTCTGGAGGCCCGTCTTTTTTTTTTTTTTGGATTTACCGCCGCCTTGAAGAAAAGCAATCACAGGTCTGGTGCAGCGCATACACCCGTCCATACACGTAAAAGTGCAGATTACGCCGTGCCCAAAAAAACCAGAGCCCCCACCACCGACATGCATCGCTGGGGCCTTGTCCATGCCATGACCATGCGGCAGGTTTCATTTTCTCCCTTGCTTTGTAAAAGCAGTGCTACTCAATGCGGAGGCCGCGAGCATCGCATAGGACAGTATGGGGAAGATGTGAGTTGTTACAGGCACGGGCACAGGGAGCTAGCCGAAGCTGCTGGTTAGTGATGCAGGCCGTCATCTTGAGGCCACCACTCTTGTCGAGGGACGAGCACAGCGTCTGTTGCTAGGTACCACCTACCCAAGTACAGCCAGCACCTTTTGTGTGTTGGACGACAGCTACATATTGATGCCAAGTAAGGTATTACGTGCTTTGCTTCAGCTTCAGCTCCCGCGCCAGGCACATCCAGGCACGCATGGGCTGTGACTGGGCACACCACTTCCTGGCCTGGTCGTGGCCAACAGCAGGCTTGTTCGTGTAATCTCTGGCTCTACTTACACACGGCAGTGGTGATGATGACGACGATGGTGAGCTGTGACCGCCCATCCTTCCGACCCGTCGGGACTGAGAGGAGAGCCACTCAGAGGCTCTCACGACGATGGATGGGACTTGCATGAGGGATTCCAGCAGCAAATACACCGACAGACTGCCTGACTGACTGCCTGACAGCGGCGGCGGCGAGCGGAATTGTCCCAGTCCAAGGGCTCTGTTGTACGAGTACCTACGGGCGTGTAACTTGGGTCTTATTTCGAGGCGGCTAACCGCTGCCAGGTCTCAGCATCCCTGTACATGTATCCATCCCCACCAGAATCTAGCGGGCTAAGCGGTCTGATGTTATTTGCCCAGCAGTCTGAGAAGCTCTCGACGATGAGGTGTCTTGTCTTTTTCCTCTTCTTCCTTTTCGTTGTGGGATCCCAGGCGGGAGGTCAGTCAAGCCAGACCCTGGTTCACCGCATGCATGTGGTGTCTCACCTTTGCCCCCTTCAGCTTAGCAGCCCTGGCAGCATGTGCAAGTGTCATTGAGTGCTGCCATGATACCAAAAGCAGCGACACAAGTATTAGATGGCACCAGACGGCAGACGACTCCCAGAATCCAAGGATTCAATGTTATGCAGTAAAAAGGCGCTGCCACTAAAACTGCTTGCCGCTAGCACTGTCTAGCAGCCGCTATAGCGCCTTGGGGCATGGGGCATGGAGTACCTCTAGGGCATGGAGCCTGGCTCCCTTTATCGACCGCCCTCGCTGTAATTCCGAGGACCAGCAAGGACGATTGAGCATGCCTGCCTCAGGTACCTGCCCAATCACGGCTCGACATCTGCTTCATATCAACCACTGGTTTTCAGCAACGACTGGTGATGCATATAGCAGCAGCAGCAGCATATCCGCCACTCTTTTTGCCTTCTTTGCCCCTTTTTACCTCTCTTCTACACCCATTCAGCGACCCGACCCGAAGCCGCCGCCCGACCGGAATCGCTGAGTGGCGCCACTCCGGTTCAGCAATCGCTTTGGCCTCTGCCCTTGTGACAGGCTAGCTGTGGGACTCGTTGCGCCATGTGCAGCCTCCAGGTGGGACGAACCGCTCCGAACGGGGACCAGCGGCGACGATGGCGGGTATAGCAGCCCAAAGGCGCAGATGTTTGCTTGCTCAATGGCCCTCTGCAATCAACACTGACACGCACAAGTGTGGTAGCATCAGCCTACCGACCTAGTGCTTGTGCAAGAGTCCACCAAGGCGACTCGGCTCGACCTCCTATTACGGGCCCGGGCTCTGCGATCTGGAGACTGCGACTGAGGCCGATACCTGTGTGTACCTAACCTATGTGCCAGTGTGCCTGTGTGTGCCTGTGCCTGGCATCCAGACTGTCTCTCTCCCTCCTCACCTGTCCAACACACAGACGCAGCATTGGCGACGTGGGGTGCGGGGTTCGCGGTCTTCCAAGCGTCGTTCTAGAAGGCGACGCAGCTCAGCCAATGACTCGGTGCGCGAGGCAAACGAAACAGACCGCATTTTGTCGCACCCGCATGAAAGTGGTCCGGCGCCTTTTCTCTTTTCTCATGCCGGCAGCACGCCCCAGCAGCCGCCGAAACGTACGTGCTATGCGCCTATAGTCAGCCATCCGGCGCGAACATACGGGCGCCTCTGCCTCTGCCTCTGCCGCCGCCTTGACGAATCGTAGTATTTTGAGCCCGCCTCAGTTGACAGTCAAGCAAACTACTACTTCTGACGATAGTCATCGCTCGGTTGCTCGGTTGCGCGAATCCAGCGAGGAAACGAAAGCCCCACGCCAATGACTTTGTCTGCGCGTGTCGTGGGCTTTTATGGAGTCAAGACATGTTTTGAAGCCTCCCTTGGCTGCCACATGCAGGAGGCAGCCCTCCCTTGCCTTGGAGGCTGACCTACTCTTTTCTTCTCTGTGCCAAGTGCGCCACGCCGTGCGAGTGCGGGCGATGGGGGGAGTAAGACCCTACTCACACACAATTGCTTCCCAGCAGGGAGACTCATTGTTCTTCTTTCGACTCTGTATTATACCCTGATGCCAGAGACGTCTGAAGGGAGAGCGAGGGCGGCAGATGCAGTGGTACCTTGACACAGATATTATGGCAGTGTCCAGTACACTGCATCATCTCTACGTCTGTATATTGGGACAGTGTTCACTCCTGCGACCAGTCAACTTACAGGGATATTTCATCCTCAGTCTCGACGGACAAACTTTGAAGAGATAGCCTACAAGCAGTCTCAGAAACACAGTGAATGTGTGTGTTGGCTTGTCCCCAATTGCGGGCTACTCAACTCCACCGCACCTATATGCCCCGGCCTACCACAGTTCTTATCCCTTCGAGGCGTCAAAAGATTTCAGCGACGAGTCATGTCCAGGAACGCCCAATACAAATTGGTCTTGCTTTGAGCCGCTTTTGCTGCTCGGCTTTATCTGTGATTCTAAAGGGAAAGGATGGAGAGGTATGAGATTGCTCAAGTCGTGATTTTGGAGCTGCCGAGGCATCTGATAGCTCAGATGCCACCTACCTACTAAGTACAGTACTACCACATCTATTCCTGCTACTAGGCCTAGATAGTAGGCAGACACAATGCTGTGTATCAACATTCCTGCAGGTGATACAGTACAGGGGCCACAAGATGCAAGCAGTACATACATACACTACCTCTACCGTATGTATGCAGATACAAAAACCTGGAACAAGTGTGGTTATAATCGAAGCCCCGGCAAGACAGATCGCCACCATCCCTGGACGTGTGGAATACCTTTGGCACGCCGTCAAGGGTGCGCTTAATCAAAGCCGCACGCTAATCATCAGCCGCAGCACAGTTACGGTGTGATTCTGTTCCAGCAAGGTCCTTAGTGTCTCGCGAAAGAGAGGAACGGTAGGATCGCGAGGATCCGCCACGCTGCAGCACTCAATCTACCATCGTCATGGGACTTGTTCAAGGCATCCATTAGCCTAGGTCCTTTAGGGAAGTGGAAGATGGACAAGGGAGATGCTTTGCCACGTATAATCCGCAAAATTTTGCATGCTTCGGGGACATTATTCCAGGTTCTGTTGCATAGGTACCATCACAAATTGCCTTTTTTTCCAATCGTTGAAAACTGAGATGAAGTAATACGTCCTTGCCTATCTGCCAATATCACCAGTTCCCTAATCAATGTCCAGATCTAGATTAGGCCTGGTAGTATATGTCGGAGATAGATGGAGATAGATGGCACGCCATCATGCCTCAAATCTTTTTCTTCTTTCCTTTTTTCAAGTCTTCAGGCGTTGCCCGGGGCTGGTGCTCGGCCCCCAACGACAAGGTCAAAGGAGACATCGAATCCAAGTGGTAGTACTGTTTCTGCCTTGTCAGCCCTCGAGGGAGCAATGCTATTCAAGGTATTCATACGGAGTACTGTTGCTGCTGCAAATGGTAATATCTCGACCAGGCAGATTACCACAGATCGGCCGTAAGTCTTGTTAATCGCCGCCGCTGCCGCTATCTCCTTGGACGGTGGCAGGACTTCCCGTTCATATTGCTACGGTACCACGAAATCGCACTCAGCGGGATGCAGTAGGATACGATTATTCGTGCTGACCCCGGTCCTGCAAGGGGCGGGCGGGCAAGCCATGCAACTGTGCCGTTCTTGTTCTTATTGCTCCTAGACCTAGCATTTGTCTTTTTTTTTTTTTGAATGCAAGTCATCCATCCACTTGGTCATTTCTCCGTAGCCTTGTGCCTCTTCCGGACATGCTGCCGACGGTTAGGAAGCTGAGCTCTTTTCGTCGTGCCCCACAGCCTGTCCTGAGTTTTATGATTATATCTCCTCGGCGCTTAGGGCTTTCTGGGTGGATTTTGTCCCAAGGGCATTGTTTGCCTCTTTATGTACTCGTGAGGAGCGAAACATCTGGCTATGAGCTGGTATGTCTGGCGTTATTACATTGTTTGAAGGTATCGATACTGATGCCATTAACGCATTGTTGTTCTGAGTGAAATATTGCTGCAATGCTCTAGTCTATCAAACAGCCCCCTTACCTATTTGGCTTGGTTTGAGCTCTTCGAAAATAGCGTCCTTGAACAGAGACGAGTTCTCTATTGCCCAATCGAACTTTGCTCGATTGCCGTGTTGGCTCCAGTCCAAGTAACTGTTTACGAAATGGCATCCAAGATTGTGTATGGATGAAAACACTTCATCTTCCTGGAAGTAACAAGCATTGTTGTCTACCTATGCTGTGATCTCAATTAGCCCAAATAATTACTTACAAACATTGCCTTTCCCCCGTCATCAATAATAGTTTCCAATATTTACATAATGCCATAAGATAACTCAAGAGACTAAAGACAGCCATAGTAATGATATTTTTGTAATTTATAATTGCTATAGTACCGCGGCGAGATTAGACATTTGTTGAAATCCCACTCATGTCAAATCAATCCAGAGTAAAAGGGAACGTCGTCTGTATATCTCCTCTATCTTAGAGCTAGAAAGGCCCAAGTCTCCTCTCTCTATTACAAAGGGCGGAATGTCTAACAAACACATGTCCCTAACATCCATGTATCAAGCGCTCCATCTTCGTTTTATAAATTGTCAAAAAATCACAACTTTCAAATACCTATGCCATTCAAGAAAAAAAAAATAAACAAATGCTGAAAAAAAAAAAAGACAAGATTTCCCACTACATCATCCATTCATGCATCATCGCTTCATGCTGCCAATAAGCTCCCGCTGCGTCTCCCGCTCCTTGGCCCCATCGCTCAAGCTGCCCACGCTCCGCAAGTCGCCCACGACGTCCTTTGCCTTTCCAAAGTACACGTCCTGCAGCAGGTTGCGCATCTTGAGCTCCATGTCCTCGACGAGGCGGCCGACGTTTGCAATGTGGCTGTCGTCGTTCTCGACGGGCAGGTCCTGTTCGACCTGGCGGGTCATGTTGCCGCTGAGGTCCATGTCGCCGACGGTGCTCTCGACGTTTGTGGAGAGCGAGAGGATGACGGTCGAGGTGAGCTTGTAGTGCGTGGTGCGGCCGCGCTCGATGGCCTCGAAGACGTGGATGGAGTCCCAGACGCCTTCGGTGTTGGAGCCTGGGGTGGCAGCTGTTTTATTGGCCTTTGTTTAGTATCTTTATACTCTGAGAGAGAAAGGGGGGGGGGGGGGGGGGAGCCAACGTACACTTCTTCACCAAGACCACGCCAGCAAAGCCGTCATCCAAGTTCCACAGATAGACACTGCTCACGCCTCCCTCGTAGTACAGCTCTCGGTAGATATCAAACGCCTCGTTGGCCTTGATCTCCATCTTGCGCACCCTCTCGTTCGGAATGGCCCCCTCGCCGGCACCGTCGTTGCTCCCGGGGCCGACGCCGCCGACGCCGCCCTCGTCCAGCGGCGGGTCAAACTGGTTGCTCCATGGCGAGCGGTAGCTGTCGCCGTCGCGGTTGTAGTCGCAGAGCAGATAGTCGCGGCCCGTCTGCCTACACCGCTTGACGGTGAGGGGCTGGTCGACGGACGAGAGGAGGTCTTCGGTCAGGTCAGGGGCGAGGGAGATGATTGCGCTGAGGTGCTCGCTGGTGTGTTTGGGGTTCAGGCGGCGGAGGAGGTCGCTGTGCAGAGCATTGGGTCAGTCTTGGTTTCCATATGAAAGCAGAGTCAAGTAAAAGAATGTCAAAGGAGAGAGTAGACGAGAAGATGGGTTGATTTGGGGGGGCTGCAGCAGAATACGGAAAGAGGGGAAGGGGGGAGAGCTCACAGCGCCGAGTCAAAGGGATCTGCAGCCATTTTTATGCGGGTTAATTGCACCAGAAGTCGGTTCCAAGCTAAACAAACAATCCGATGGATTCGAGGTGAGGTCTGGCAAAGGAAGCCCGAGATGCTCTTTGGTCGCGGGGTTTGGAGTTGTCGGGTCGCCAGGGGTCACGTCACCAGAACGGACCTCTAAGGAGCCAGTGCCTACCTAATAGCGGGCAGCTATCAGCTAACAACCCCACCAGATGGGCGGACAGCTTTGGGCACTGCTCTTTGCCAAGCTGAAGCATTTACAGCTCTCAATTCTGCTACTCGTATAACATCAAATTCTCAATTGTCTTTTCTTTAAACAAGGTGCAGAGTAATTTTGATACTTGTTTCAAAGATACAAGCAGACTTTGAAATATACTCGACGTTTCACCATGCAGATAGAACAAGCTTCCCTCTCTTTGATTTTATTCAACGTCCAATTTGTCTGCAGTCTACTTATCCAAGGCGGAAAAAAAAAGAGATAGAACCTGATATAAGAAAAACGAATAGCCAAAGCTCAAAGGTCCCTCCCTCGTCGGCTATAAGCAGCGTAAGCCAGAAAAAGAACAGATTCAAAAGTAAGCAAAAAAATACAATAATCCTCAAATGACAACTCGCCCTTTTCCAGACCCCTATGAGTAATAGAGAACAGACAATCGGAGTGCCGCCTTGCTATGCCCCCTTTGACCAATTTAAACCCCAGCCCATACCGTAGAATCGCCAAAAACGCCCCGCCATCAACCCTTCATGTCTTCCCCTCCTGCGGTGTCGTGTCGCCAGAGCTAGGTGCCGTTTTCCGCTGACCTTTTTTTTTTTGGTGTTCGATAAAATGTTTTTTTGGCTCTCTTTCCATATTATGTTGATCGTAGATAATTGCTTGTGACAAAGACTATACCTCTTTGAAAAAAAAAATTAAAGGAAAACCTCGCTGTTGCTGTCTTTCCAGAAAAGGGAATATAGGCGTAAAGCATTGTCTCGTGTCCAAGATTGCTGCAGATGGATATCATTCCTGCATATGAATGGAAATCTCGTCGTCTCACTCGATGACTGTGCTGCACAACAGGCAATATGCCTGCTCAGTCCACTTCTTCTCTCCTCCCTCAATGCCCTCTCTTAGGTCTGTTATCTCCCAGACCGTAGGGCCCTCGTTCATCTTGAGGGTCGCTTCAAAGAGACCTTCCCAAGGCTTCTTTGACAGCTTCTTGCGCTTTCCTCGCTTTACCAAGCCAAATTTCGACGACTTATCCGGCGCAGGTGTTGGAGTTTCTGTGGCTTTGGACGATTCATCGTCTCGTTGCTTCACCAGTACTTGGTCTTTTACTTCGCTGTTGGCGACTATGGGCGATTTCCTGTCCTCTGCCTCGTCTGGACTCAATAGGCGGTAAGGCAAGTCCCCGTTTGTTCCTTCTTTTGGCTTCTCTCTTATGATATCCTCCTTTGCCTCCTGCTTGATGACAGGCTTTTCGGGCTTATGGGGCGTGTCCGTCCCTAATCGATCGTACACTCGGGTGAGAACATCGTCGAGTAAGCAGTCGATATGCATCCACTCTTCGCAGGTCTTGTTTGAGCAACCCACGAGGGTTTTGTCGGGATTGGCAGGAGTCTTGCAATTGCAGACAAGAGCAACAGACTAGTCGACAGAAGAAGAAAGGCAAATTAGCTTATAATCCCGACTAACAAGTGCAAAGCAGCGGTCAGTTATTGTAAAGTTTTCCATACCGATAACTCTGACGTCCTGCAATTAAACGCCTGTCTCCAATAGAGAGACTCTTGTATATCGTCATCGTTTGATTCAATCCATTGCTTGACATTGACGCCCATGACGACACTGACAACGTTGATTATGTCCACTACTTTGGCGTTAGGGATAATGCATGCGCAGAGGTGCTTTCGAGATACTTACTGTGGTTGGATGCAACCAGCTCATGCTGTCCGTGGTATGGCTGGCGTCCCGAAATCTGCTTCTTGCCTTCCAGCGTCCCAAGAGGCAGCTCTTCAGGCCAGTACATCCAATAGACACGGGCGTATACGTGATGCTCGTCCGAGGCTCGCACCTCGAGTATTCGTGCCACCCAGTAGTCCGCCTTCTTGGCCACCTTGCTAGCCCCGGCGGGCAGCGAGTTCTGTCGTTCCATGGTCGCCTCGTTCGCCACGTAAACAAAATCCTCGGTGTAGTATTTGACGCCGTTGACTGCACGAGTTCAAGCTTGGTTAGTAGCTGAGCTGGCTCGCTTTCCCCGCTCCATGTCCGGGGCACTGGAATCCATGGAAAGGACGGAATCTACTCACGAACAAAGCTGTTGTAGCGTGTCATGTCCAGCCATTGCTTCCGCGGATCTACATTGTACACCAGCTTCATTGACTGGCCCGTCTTGAACTTGCCCTCGGGATGGAACACGGCGTTCTGCGTCAGGACCTTTTTGCTGGAGTCCTCCGCCGGCTTGTCCTGTTTCCGCTTCTTGTACTTGGGCCCGCCGTCCTTGTCGCTGCGCTCCAGCTCCGAGACGACGTTTACGGTGAATGGGCAGTCCGCACGATTCTCGTCGGGGACGCTGCCGTCAGGCACAGCGTCATCCGGCGCCGGGCGAGAGCGCTTGCGAGGCTTGGAACTCATCGCGGACCCTTGGGCAGCGCGCATGCGGAGAGTCGCGCAATGCGTCGCGTATCGACGAGGCTCGGGGCGTGTGGCGGCAGCTCGCAGCGAGGGCTCAGGGCGCAATGAGTGCTGAGGCCGGACCTGCTGCCTGCGACGATGCGGAGATGACACCGGGCGATGCAACGGGATGGTTTGCGTCGGTTCGGTGTATCTGGATCTGGATGTAAACACACAAGCGCCCGCCGAGCCCTGGCAAATCGATAGCGGGTTGGGGTAGGATTCGCTGCTATGCAATTATTTTTTCCCTAGACGGCTGGGCTCTAGCAGAGACGCGCCCAGAGCTGAGTGGTCGGTCGGTGGGCGTCAAGCTGCCGCAGTCCGGGGTGAGAAAAGAGACAAGGAGCACGGTGCAAGTGTTCTTGGTTTTTTTTCCTTCTTCGGGCTTCTGTAACTGCCGAAGTGGGTTCGGTTTGATAGCAATCTTCAGCAATCTTCAGCAATCTTCAGCGAGTCCCCTGCACCAGAACTAGAGGGGAAGTACACAACGGGAAAGAAAAGAAGAAGAAGAAAAGGAGAGAACGGAGATTGCTGAAGAAGAAGAAGAAAACCGGTTTCTCTTCTTCGGGCCGTCCTCCCTTAGAGCCAACAGCTTCAGCTAAACAAAACGAGAAATTACGACGAAATGGCCAACCAACAACGTCGCAGATAAAAAAAAAAAAAAAAAAAGAGAGGCTGATGCTTGTACCTGCCTAGGCGCTAACAGCCACCGAGTACATCGTCACGCCCAGTTACCCACTTTGGCGATGCAGGCCTATCTCGAGCAAAACAGACTCCCCGCAACTGCTGCTGCTGCTGTTGCTGCTTGTTTCTCTTAGCGTGCTCTGCTGCTCCTCTGCTGTATCACGGACTGCAAATCGAATTGCCCTAGTAGGTGCTTGGACTGCTGGCAGTTGCTTTAGCCGCCGACTAGCAATCGTAGCTGGAGCTGAACCGCGACTAACACTGACAGCCCAGCGCCCGTAACGAGTGGTCCTAGTTCCAGTGATGCAGATTATCTGCACGTCCTACCCAATTGGGAACCGCTAAAGCGTTGATGGAGCTCATGGCACCATCAGTAGTCATGCCGTGTTGGTAGAACCAACCAGACGTCACATCAAGTCACACTGGTAGACACTAACGGCATCACTCAATTACTGTCCATTACATCAACTACTTACAAACGAAACAAACCCAAACGTATCACGTATTTCGTTCAGCTTTTGGAGAAGAGTATTATAAACGGTCAAAGCATCTGATTCAAGCTCCATCACATTACAGGGGCCACTAGTATTTACGGCATATCCAAAATTCACTAATAATCAACCACAACGCCTACGCTATGCATAGGTTATCAATCGAGACAAAACTAACTCCAACAAACAAACAAACAAGCAAGTTCCAAAAACAAAAGCGCTCTGACCATCATAGAGGAATGAAGTGAATATCCAATCTCAATGTCGATGTGTCGTGTCTCCGTTCTCCTCTGCGGCTTCATAGTCTGCCAACATGCCACGGGCTGTTTCCTCGTCTTCTTGCTCCCCCTCTTCTCTGCCGTGGTCCTCTACGTCAAATGCCTCGATAGTCTCCGCGAGCTTCTCGCCTTCCTTCTTGCCCCGCTCCACGTTGATGAGCCAGATAAGAGGGGCAGGGAATCCAACAAGCGCGGCAAGAAACCAGAACGCGGGCCTGATGCTTCCAGTTTTGTCGATGATGGCACCAACAATAGCAGGCCCGAAAACGCTGGACCCTTTATCGGTGATTGCATAGAGCGCGTAAAAGGCGGCTTCGGATCCGGGTGGGATCAGTTCGCCAAACAACGAGCGACAGTAGCTACTCAGACCGCCCATGACCAGACCATATACGGCTGCCAGAGGATACATTTCCCAAGGCTGCTGCAGGCCCATGACGCCCCACCGCTGAATGAAGGGAAGGTAACCCATCAAGCCGTAAATCGGAATAAGCTCAAAGAGTGCAATGCAAACAAGAATTGTCTGATGAGGCTTCAGGTTGAATGCGCGGGAAATCCACGACCAGCCAAAAGCGCCAAAGATTCCAGACATGGTAGAAATGACATTGATCATGCCCAGGGCCCAGGGCTTCATGTGAAGCTGGGTTTTGGCGAATAGAACAGCAGTAGACGACGTTGTGGCAATCGCATCCGACAGAAGAAACCATCCCCCTAGGAAGAGCATGATATCCAACAGCCGCCTTGCCAGCGAAACAGTGCGAAATAGGGATTTCCACGAGTACTTGAAGTACGTCCACCACGAGGGGCCGTTCTTCTGCCCGTGTACCGTAAGAGGTGGCCCGGGCCTAGGTCGAAGCCACATGGCAGAAGGGATGGTAAAAACAGACCACCAAGTCCCAACCATGAATAGCACCACCCTCTGCGACCATGTCGTGTTTTTCATGGCCAAGAGGATGACAATCGAGACGCACTGCACGAACAAGGCAGCACTGTAGCCAATGCCAATACCAAAAGAGGAAATGCGCGTAGAAAGTTGAAGCTCTTTGGAGGTGATTTCCTCATGAGTGGGCACTCGCTTCAGCCCATACCTTGAAGGCCGGTCGTCAGGAGGTAGCAAGCCGGAGGTGGAGTTGACCATGGCTTCTTCTAGGTCATCAGTTGACTCTAGAGCTGGATCGGCGAGAATAGGCGCCTCTGGCTGTGCATACGCGTCCATTACTTCAGGGTGATTACGAACCATGAGAGGGAGGAACGAGTTGAGAAGAACAAACGACGCGCCAAAGGAAGTATTCGAGATGATCGTCAGCAAGGCGCCGAGCAGGTACGTAGTCTTGCTGATGAAGATGAACGCCATCACCGAAAGTCCACCAAGCCAGGCAAATCCGAGAAGAAGCCGCTTTCTGTAGTTGCCATGGTCCGCAGCACAGCTGATACTAACGACGAGGAGCGCCTGTAGCAAAACACTGACGGAAAAGGTATACATGGCAAAGCTTGCCGTGTTGATCTGGATGCCGAATACATATACAATGCATTGGCCATCATCCTCTGATTTACTGTCGCTGGAACCGCAGGGCTTGTCTGGGTTCGAAAGAAGAACGCCGTTTTCTCGAGCGAGCGTCTCCAAGAGAATAGGGATGAAGGAAGCTGTTGTCTCGATTAGCTCATGTTGGGTTGGGCGATGGAAGCTGACAGCAACAACAGCGGTGCCAGGAGACTTGTATAGCATCACGAATCAAAAAAATGGGATGCAACAGGGTGCTAAACATCGTAATAAAATTGAAACATCAGCCTCGACTTACCAATGCCGCAAATCACATATGTCTCGGCCGCGAAGCCATACATGTACCATCCCCAGAGCTCCTTCTTGCTAGTCGGTCTAGCATCATGGCCCTTGTAAGCCGGCACGCCGGGGCGCTCGTCGCTGTCGAAGCTATCGCGGAGGCTCATCTCCTCGTCGCTGTCGGACCGCTCGTCGTCGGCCTCGAACGATGATGTCGTGTATGATCTCTTGGACAGAATCGAGAGTCCCGACCAGAACCGCCGTCCCTGAAGCTCCGGGCGATGAGGCGGCATTGCAGCGGGCACGGGCGCGCAGGCAGCTAATCAATAGGCTGATCAGCCGGACCCACGTGATTGAGTGGCCCAGTCGGAAGCGGTACCTAGTCTAAAATTAAGTTTTATAGTTTTAGCATGTAATAAATACTTTTCCCTTACTTTATTAGCTTTGCTCTGCGAATTGCTAACAGCTAATGGCGGACTCGCGAGAGGTCCGAGTCGACAGGACGCCGGCACGCATCAGGACGTGAGATTTCCAGGTCCGTATATCGCACGTAGGACAAAGGGGTGTGAGCCTGTCGGCTTTATTTATTAGGCGTCTTCGGGCCCAGCTTTATTTTCCTGCTTGTGTGCGTCCTATTCCTGCTGGTTGGCCGATATGCGCTGCAGGGCCTGACTCGGCTGGGCGTCTTCAACAAGCAAGTCGATCGCGGTCTAGCTGAAGGATCTCTCTTTTCTTCAGGCACCTGTTATTTCCGACGGGCGATATGCAGCTCTTTATGTGCTTGCCGCAGTCCCATGCGCTTCTGCAACATCCATCACAGCCCCTCTGCCTATCGCGCCGCCGCTGAGTGCGTCACATCGCCTATTCGCTCCAGTGCGGCCCTAGCGGCTGGGACTCTTCACTCACCGACCCCAGCATCGTCTGCTCTAGCCATCTTGCCATCTACACTTCTAAATATGGACTTGGTTGGCATCGTTTTCAGCACGGCTAGAGCTTTAGCACTGATCGGGGTGGAGAGCTCTCGCGTCAGTGACCCAGTTTAAGCTGCTCTTCCGTAGCTAGCCAGAGACGCGCTCTTTTTTGCGCAGGTCAGCTGAGGCGAGAAGATGTCCTGCAAGAGGATTTGCGAGGTGCTAAAGCAAACACCACGGCGCTCCGTCTATTTCCTTTGGAATGGTGACCTGAGATTCCCGCAGTCGACGCCCATGAGACCAAGTCTAATGCTCCAGGGCGGTCCCCAAGTGGAGATGCAATGGGCAAGGTTCGCAGTGACGATCTTGCCCGCTTGGGCTTTGTGGCGTGATGGGAGTTTTGGGTGCTACACGATACCGGACACAACCAACATTTCTGTGTGATTGCGCCGCATATGAGGAGACAGAAACTTCGCCTGACTACATAGTACCCATACCTAGGTACCTAGTAGGGTTGTTTTGCACGCTATTGCGATTAGATTGAGACTCGACACGAGCTGACAGAAAACTTTATTGCGCTTATTACTTTGCATGTCATCCGCCAGTGACAGCATTACGGGGACTGTACACCTTGATGCAGACAGCTAACAAGCCTGACACGTCGAAACTCAAAGCAGGATATCATAGATGGCATACGCTCTCCAACCATTGTACTCCATTATTCGACCAATAAACAAACAGCCCTCAGGAACCCTCAACCAGCTCTCCATGTTGTCGTGAGCTGCTCAGTGTTTGAAGACGCCAAACAGCTTTGTCTTTAGCTTGTCTGCCAGGCCTACGGGCGCAACTGGGCGAGGCTTCGCTTCCGCGTGTTCGTCCTTGATGTGGTGCTCATTGCCCGCACCGCCGCGGCCAGTGTGAAATCCCTGAGTGTCCTGGCTCGGTCGAAAGGCCTCTTCCGGGATGGCATCTGCGTCCTTGCGCTGAGATGCAGCGGTTCCAATGTCGGAGATGTTGCCAGCGCCTGTAATCGCAAAGTCGTTTACTTAGCTGTCAAGTTTGGCTTTGAGAATGTGGCATTGGCAATGAAACAACGTACCTCCTCGACCTGAGCTGAATGCGCCGTCGCCATGGCTGCCCTCGACGCCAGATCGCACCACCTCACCGTCGACGTATTTTGTATCGTCCTCGTCAATGTTGCCAGCCCCGCCGCGGCCGTGGGATACTTCAACAGCCATGACGAAGAAAAGAAGAATCTGTTAGATGCTTAATTGGATATGCTTAGCTGTATTGCCGTAATTATGGTGCAAATAAGGATCAATGCCCTACCGTTTACAGCTCACGGTAGCTTGGACGCTCGGCTGGCGCTACCAAATCCTTTATATCACAGGCCGTGACTTACACATGCCAAGTGATAAGAACAATAATCGCGTGGGAACCAAGGCGCCGGATGCGCCACATGGCTGCTCGTGGCGGAAACTCAGGCGACAGAACGAATGACATCAGCGAATGAGGAGCTTCAATGCGCGTGTGGGAGAATCCCGTTATCAGTTCCCCCCAAAAATTTGGTTTCTCAGCCGCGGCCATTCCCCCATGTCGTTCCTCCAAGAGATAAAGCCCTTTATCGGCAATGCTTTGCGCCGACACCCAATGGCGGGAGCCAGTGAGATGCAGCGGGGCGCTGGCCGGTTTACGTACCTGAATTTGGTGACATACAGTGACAGGGTTCCTTATCGATGACCTAAGAGCCACTATCAGAAGCATGCATCATCAATGCCTGTGCTGTAATTCACCTCAAGGCTCAACGGGTGTCCCGGATTCGGTAGGCATATAAGGCTAACAACAGGATTTGTTTCGTCTCGTATGTATGTACCATATAATATCATACAACTTCCTTCACGACTCGAGAAACAGAGTTGGGATTGAGCGTACACAACATGTCAGTCTTTCTCAACTGATGTCGCCGACTAAAGCTCAGCGACCACGCCACGTCCCTGTGGCTCTTCTCCCTCATACTTCAAAAAATTCTCGGGTATCTCTACCAAAGAATTCAGACCCCATATATCCCAAAGCGCCTTCACATCATCCTCAGGCATGTCGTCTACCAAGTAAAACCATTTCTCCCCAATCTTCAAAACGTCCGCGCGCACGCTCCGAGTGCAAGCCGGTGCTTTCCCCGTGACGGCGTCCTTTTGCGAATCATAGTGCCAGCTGCTGCCGTACAGCCTCTTGTTCGACCTGGCGCAAACCCAGCCTCTTACGGTGACGAAGTCTGCTCCGCACGTCCCGTCGTCCTCTTCGCGGCCGGCAACGATGTCTTGCTTGACGCAGTCCTCGCAAGTAAAACCGGCAATCAGATGTTCGCCGTGGCAGCATGCGCCTGGGACTATGTCGTGGCAGAAGGCAGCATTGCCGCTGCAGTCGCCCCAGGCCCAGAGAGTCAGTGTTCTGCTAACTGCGGACGTAGCGTGGGCCCGGAAACCAAGCAGTATAAGAATAAAAATGGCTTGAATGAATTGCATCTCTTGGTATCGCTGCTCTGATTTATTAGAGTTATGAAGTTTGTTTTAGTCGGCATGCAGACTCAAAGCCGGGACGAGGCCCTTTATATGCATATACGCCTCAATCCCTTGCATAGGTAGGTAATAGACAGAGAGACAGGACCGCCTTGAATTATGTGATTCTATCGCCGTTGTATTACACCAACCACTCAATCGCATCATTCATGTCTAGAAAGGCTGCTGAATCGACTACGATCATCTCAATGCACAGTCATCTTCTTACATAATTTATCTTACTTTGACTAATTCTACAGCCTTATACACGCAGTCTTATATTGAGATACTGAACAGCGACGCCGATTTCATTCTACTGAATTAATGTGACGCCATTTCAAAAAGATAATATAATCTGCTCTGTAATAGCATGTATTTGAATTTAAGACTTTGCAACTGAACCTAATTAGTGTTGCTACATGCATATATCGGAAACCTCCTCTACTTCAAACGCTCTTGGGTCTATTGATATTTTCTTTATGTGACGGAATTCAATCTTCCACCTATACTTTGCCAGCCCGGCCTATCTGGAGAATCTCACCCGTCAGCTGCTCATCGCTTCGCAGAACCGGCCAAGAAGCTCCATCAGCCTTGACAAGAATAAGCTCCAGCTTCGTGCCGAGAATCTTGAATGACGATTTTTCCGTGTCGATTTCGCCAAATAGCGGCACGGTTGCCGTATATCGCTTGGGCGTGGGATCGCTGGTCGTAAGGTCCAAATCGAGCTCTTTTCCCTTGAAATCGACCTTGGCCGTCTCCTTCTTGATCTTCTTCAAGAAATATGACGCAATGACCTGTGTAGAAGTCTGGTAGAAGTCGTGCCTAAAAGATGGTCAGGAGCTGGTCGGTTGTCGCCGAATATCGATTCACTTCAAAACACAAATAAGGGACTCACCTAACTGTGGTCAAAATCTCTTCGCTGCCTGACTCGGGCGTGTCCTTCTTCCCGCTGCCGACAAATAGATGCTTGTCCTTTGTCTTACAGCCCTCCATCTTCATAAACTGGTCAAACTCTAGCACCCTCCTCTTGCAGCATGAATACCCCTTGCTGCCCTCGTGGAAAATTGGTACACCAGGGTGGTGCACGCATTCTTCTCCTTCTCTTGCAGACCCCTTCTTGTATTTGATGGTGCATCCCTTTCGGCGGCACTCAGCTCCGTCAGGAATGTCCAAGCTCGAATCGTCATCCTCGGAATCTGGGGGCGGCGGAGGAGGTGTGGGAATGTGCTGTGCTGGTTGGATCGGCAATCGAGCCGGCGCGGATACACTGGCCTCTTCAATCTTCTTTGCCAGGGCAGCTTCGTCGATCTGAGGCTTCTCTTCCACGGGAGGGGGCTTTTCAGTGGTTGAATGTGTGCCCGTCGTACAAGGAGGAATGTCCATGAATTCGTCGAAAGTCAATACTCGCGGCTTGCAGCACTTCCATCCTATAAGTTTCTTGGTTTAATATATAGACTTAAAGGGGCGAAAGGTAAAAAAAAAAAAAAACGACTATGCTGATCAAGAAAACATAGAAGAAGCTCTCGTACCTTTCTGCCCCTCGTGAAAGACAGGTGGACCAGGGTGGTAATGACACTCCTCTTCTGGGTCAGTATATTCTTTGCCGCAGCCCTGGCGGACACACTTTTGCGCCATGGTGAAGGTGGACTATGTGATACAATGGCTGGTATTTCGATGGAGAAGGAAGCCGAAAATCGTGCAGCATAAAATTAAAGAAATGTTGAAGCAATTGAAAGCTTTAGCTGTCCGGAGAAGTGGGTAGCTGATGGGATCTTCTAGAACTGTAAAGATGACGGAGCTGCTCTTGCTCTCTCACCGCTTTCCTATTTCGATGCGGGGTTCAAGATCTCAAAGCTGCTGCTTATCGGGTATGCAATTAAACCGTAGCCATCATCAGATGATAGTTTGAAATCCAATGAGAGAGAAATCTCGAGCTACAGAAAGTGAACCCAAATTAACAATTGGTGCTTAGTAGCTGGGAAGAGAGAGAGAAAAATGTTTATTACAAGGCGCCTTCTGCGTGCCTGCAGAATTACTTTATTCTCACGAGATGACTGCGGCTTGTGCACGCAAGCTAAAGGGGTCCTTTCCGATGTCTGGGATAAGCGGCCGTTTCACTACACAGAAGTGAACTTGGCAAAGCCAGAATTCAAGCATTGGAAGAATCTGTACGATTTCGATATTCCTGTTGTAAGTGGTTCATGTTTTCTCCGGTATTTTCCGGTAGAAATCCGGCGCTATGCTGATGCGTATTAAACAGATACATATTAGCAAAGCAGAAGCTGCGGAAGAAGATGTTAATAAGACCGGAAAGGCTATCAAATTAATGCACCGCTTCACGACAGAGCAAGTCGAGGCAAAAATGGATCAAGCTGAAGGCATCTAATTTATCCTTCTAATCTATGTACCCACGTCAATGGAGGAACATCTACAACACACATGCCCCGGTTTAGTTTTTGGCAGCGGTCAGATACTGCTTGACTACATCCTCAAGGCCCATGTAATCCGTGACGACATGGACCATATCAAAGCCTCGCTGCTGGCACTGCTTGGCATGGGCACCGCTGAAAGTATAGATGCCGCTTTTCTTGCCAGCTTTCTTGGCGGCGACCTGGACCTTTGAGATGGCATCATCGAGCTCTTGGGGGATGCCGGCCTCGCTGACGCGGTGCCCGATGTTTATGCCTATGTTTTGCCGTTTGCGGTTAACAGCGGAAGATTTTTGTAGTAAATATTTGGGGTTAACTTACCGAGATCAAATGGACCAACGAAGAGGACGTCAACTCCCTTGACAGCAGCAATTTCATCCACCACCTCGAGGGCTTCTTTGGTCTCAATTTGGACCATGGTCAATATGTTCTCATTGGCTTGGTTAAGGTAATCTAGAGAAGAGATGGTGGGGCCAAACTGCTTGGCAGAATAAGGAGATCCAAAGCCTCGCTTTCCCAGAGGGGGGAATTTGGCGGCTTGGACGAGGTCCTCGGCTTCTTTGACGGTACGCAACAGCGGGACAAGAACCTAGAACAAGGGGGCTGTATCAGCATATAGGTCGCCTTCCTAACAGTGAATCCAATAATGAAAAAAAATCTTGTATGAAATACTTACACCATGGGCACCACAGTCCAATGCACCTGAACGTTGTCACGTCAGCTTCATTAACAGATTCTGGGATGGAAGATGTCACCAACGCTTCACCATCCATGGCTCCATTCCCGGGATTCGAACAATGGGAGATACTCCCAGCGCCGCAATAGCTGGAACTGACTCATGCATAGCACGATCTGTCAATCATTCAAAATATTAGCTCACTTTCATCAAGTTATCATGCGATATCATAATCTGTGCCAGTATAACATACCGTCCAAGCTGCCATGCTCACAGTCCACCAGCACCCAGTCCACGCCCGATTGCGCCAGTATCCTGGCCGGTGCCGCTCCAGGAATCATCTGCCAGCCTCCAAAGGCAGGCTTGTTTGCATCAAAGAGAGCCCTGAGCCTGTTGCCGTCTTTGAGCGTGGCCTTTGCGCCGCCAGGCGTAGCTCCCGCAGCGATATAAGACATTTTGAACGGATTACACTGTAGAACGGGCCTCTGCCGGAGTAATAAACGAGAAGTGGCAGTTCTTAGGAAGAAAGAGTTCATGCCTGCCGCAGCTCCAAAGGGAACAAAGTATGAGAGATCAGTACATATAAGTGAGAGTTTGAAGGCTGGGGCTATATGTGCATCGAGGGAATCAAATTCAGTGCCCTGTACTAACCTACACGTCAGAGAAGGTAGAGCGCGACGTTTCTCTCTCCCACGGCGAACGATTGGACGATTTGTATATGACGAGATGACGTTTAAAGTAATGGGATGAGTCGGGAGACAGATTCGGACGAGGATTATAGTTATGCAGTGAGGTCTCTGCTGACGTGACCAAAGAGCATGAAGCAGCCAGTGCGGGGGAGTACAAGCCGAAGGGCGCGTGGGGAAATCGCAAGATACTACACGCGGACTCTGTCCGACCCAAGCAAGAGGCTGGTGGAGGATATTCCCTAATAGGCACTCTGCACAGTGAAACTAATTGCTTACCTTTCAGTGGTGTTGATTTGTACTGAATACCTAGGCAAGCTGTTTCGAGAGCTGCTGACTTTTGTTAGCGTCTCATTGATGATGAGCCTATTTCATGTTATCCTTAGTTGTATATATCGCATTCACGCACATGCGCAAGAACCAGGGCAGTTGAAACAAGTCATGTGCGTTGATCTATTAGATTGCATTGGTATTTACATATAAAAGTCAATTTGCTTCAAATTGGTTGTTTTTGCCATTTTATTGCGCCAGAAAAAAAAAAGCCTTTGATTATAGTTCAGTCTAGTCTTGTAATCTAATTTGCGAGAAGGAGGGTTTCGCGTCCGTGGTTCTATCGAAAAGAAAAGGGCATCTTTGAACACACGCGTCGGATCCTCTTTGCGGTTGTATCTCAAGAAAAGGGCGTCGTGCCGGTATTCCACGTGCACGAGTCGCCTATTTTCCTATGAACATTGACCCTGCCGCGAGCTGATCTTTAGTAATTTTGCCCAGAGATCATAGAAGCGGAAAAGCATCCGCCATGCTCAAGCTGGGGGAGTGTATCGAGATGAATGAATGTCTATAATCCATTAATCTTGAAGGCATCTGTTATTTGGTGTCAGTAAAGGCCAAATTCATGCGTCATCCAACAGCTGCCCATCATACCCAAGATAATCCTCTTTGATGCTCCCGATAGCCCACATTTCGCCGACTTCTGTTCGAGTACCGATAATCTTGACACGCACATGCGTACCCGGTTCGATGACAGTGTCTTCGTTGTTAGTAAACTGTGGGGGTGTCGCATTGGGGTCCCATTTGATGTCGCTGGGTATCAGCTGTGATGCTGTGAATCAGCGCGATTCTACCAACTACAATGCATTGCCTGGGGGAAGACGCACATGAGCAGACACAAACAGTCTGAGGGGACCAGCTTGGGCGAAGAAACCCTGTGGATTGATGGAGTAGACAACGGCATCAACCTGATCAGGGTTAGACAACTGCTTGCCTCAGTGGGCGCAGATTTCGCCTTACCGTCTCTCCTTTGAATGGCCGCCATACGACCGCGCGGTATCCAACGGTAAACTCTGCGAGACCATTGCTCGGTAAGATCCGGCCTTCGGAAATGTCGAAGGTGTCCATGATGGAGATGATGTAGTAGCTGCCGGCGCAGGTACCTTCGACATCTTTCAGCAGTTTGCTGGTCACAAGGTCGTGCATGTTACGGCCGAAGTAGGACGGGTGGAGGGTGACCCTCCGCTCCATGTTGTAGAGGAAAAACATGATGGGCTGTCGGGCAGAGATGCGTAATGAGAACGTCAATGGATGATGGAAGGGCGGCGTTTGCGAGCTGGTAGAAAAGCGATGGGTGAGCCTTCCAGAGAAGCCCCTTCAATTTCCCATATGAAGGCGTATCGGAGTCTCGTTTACCGAATGGTTCGTATCCTAGAGGCGCACGAGCGCTGGCTGGATATCCCAATGGTCGATCAGCCAGGCAATGAAATGGAAGGCGAATCGAAATCGGTGGAAAGAAGGGGAAATCGAGCAGAGGCCCGGCGGGGGCGGCGAGGGGGGCGACGGGAGAGGAGACAGAGGAGGAGACAAAGGCCTTGAAGCAGACGCAGCACGCACAGCTGAAACTCTGCGCTTTCGAGTGTGCGTTGCTGGCTCCTCGGCTGGGGAAGTTGGTGGATATGAGGAGGATGCTGGAGCGCGACGAGGCTGCGATGTTTGGCGACTGGCACTTGCAAGAAATCTTTGGGGATTGCGCAGCCGGCGCTAAAGCCTACATGGTCTGTGCGCTATGCCCAGACCGGACAGCGCAGCAGTCAATCGCCAGATTGGAGCTTATTGGGTACAAGCTTTTTGGTGCTCGCCGCACTGGACGGCAGAAGATGCACGGCGCTGTATGGAACGGTTGGGGTAAGAGTCTCATCACTCCGCATTAGAAGCGTTCTATCACATGCCTTTTGCATATCAAAGGCAAAGAGCATGCATAAGGAGAGCGCAGGAAGCCAGGAGAGGCAGAGTGTGCTGTTTGATAGGCCACCTCTATAGCGTTTGTCGTACCAGCAGCAGTGCATTGCTTCCCAAAGCTGAATATCAACTCGTAGTATCTGAATCCATCGTCAATCATCCACAGCAATTGTAGTCTCGATATCCGACCTAGCGGCGATTTATCTTGTCTGAAAATACTGCAATGCTGTCTCATGCGCGCATCTTCAGCCTTCCAAGGTACCTCTGCACGCTAGTAGTGTCGGCGGCAGCACGGGTACCTGGCGGAGTCCGTCCGCTGTTGGAGCTGCTCACCTACCTCAGTACTGCTCTTTGTTCACTGCCGACTCCTTTTCCTCTCTATCCCTTGCAGTTCCGGCTTACCAGACTCTCGGTTATGCATGCGTTTTGCCTGTCAACGGCGCTTATGGCTGTTACAGTGGAGGGAGGCTGAGCACGAGGCGCGCTGAGATGGTCCGAGGCTCCCAAATCCCCACCATTCTGAACCATCCACAGCGGCCTTCAGTGGGGGACGCAGAGCTCTCAGCGCCTCGAACCTCCTGACTTGGGCCATTTCGCTTCAACATCCTCTTCTTGCCTCATGCCGAGCGAAACTCATTCGATGCTTCAGCCTCGACAAGCCTCTCTGCTCTACCCTGCGCCAGCTTCTCTGCTCTCCGAGTCGCGTCCTGCGTTTTGCTGCCTGCGGACCCTCTGAGCTGTTCGACTGCGTTTGATCATCTCGTCTCACGTGCCAGCCGGTCGCGCCAATTCTTCGGACACAGCGGTACCTTTCTATCACATTTTGTTGAGCACTTCTCTCGCTGCCTCTGTATCCTCTGCCAACCCCGAAAGAATGTCGCTGGACCTGGAAAAGCACTTGACGTTTGTGAGCACACGTCCAATCTTCTCATGATTCTTTCGTTTGCCTACTGACAAATGAATCTCGCTCTCAGTATGGCGCATACCATCACAACAGCGTCAATGTGGCCATTCATATGATCTGCGTGCCTCTGCTGCTCGTATCAGGATTTGCTTTGGTATGTCCATCAGCCCCCTGTCAACTCGACGATGTCACCCAAAGCAGTATCCTTACGCCCCTTTTTTTGACTCTGTGCAACAGGCCACGTATACGGGTACAATCGTTCACACGCCCAGCTGGGCAACCGTCCCATATCTGGATCTCAATCTGGGCACCATCGGAGCTTTCCTCTACGCAGCGCTGTATCTGCTGTTAGAGCCGGTAGCGGGCTTTGTTTTGGCTGCTTTCTGTCTCGGTAGCACGGCATTCGTCAACTCATGGCACCTTCGTGATCCCACTTTGACCTTCCAGGTCGCTCTTGGAGTTCACATCGTTTGCTGGATCGCGCAGTTCATTGGCCATGGAGCTTTCGAGGGTCGCGCCCCTGCTCTGATGGACAATCTCGTCCAAGCCATCTTCCTGGCGCCCATGTTTGTCTGGCTAGAGATGCTCTTCAAGCTGGGGTACCGACGAGAGCTTCAGGCTCGTGTCGAGAAAGCTGTAGTGAAGGAGATTGCCAAGTTCGAAGCCGCATCAAAGAATGGCAAGGCCAATTAAACCGGTGCCAGCTGAGAGATATGAGCCCTGGCCAGATATATCGAGGCCTCTCAAATCTCCGATCAGCCATACTCACATCTGAGCCCTCTCCCCATTCAGTTGTTAGTCAACAAACACGTCATTTTAACTTTGGATGAGATACAGCCTCTGACGACAGGCCTCGAATTCCCAATTCTTACGTCTCATTAACCAAACAGACAGGATTTAATATTGCAAGCAAGCGCTCTCAATCGCACTTTCATATGAGCCAAATCTGCAAAACATTTTCTCTTATTTTCTTTCTCTATTGTCGACATAGTCGAGGTACCCCAAAAATATCAGGAGAAGTGAGCTTTGGCTGCGCTTTACTAAAGACGCAGACAAGGCACAGTATAATAATTGTTCTTTTAGCCAATTTTTTGCATCAGTTAGCAGCTGTAAGCTGATGCGGTAGTAACTCAGAAAAAAATATCAAAACTCTATTACCTCATCTCCCCTTTGCTGCCGAGGACCAAGAGATATGCATAGCTCTGGTTTCAACTCCGTACCTTTAATTAGGATAAAGGCGGTTGAAGCACCTATGCCAGAGACCGGACACAAGATTAACACAAGTCGAAGATACTCCAGCGGACTACATTGCCGAAACACGTCTCCATAGCACAGAGTTGGCTCGGACAACTTATGCATAGCCAAGAGACCGAATGCGATGTCAGCCACCATCTCGTTTCAGGTATATCTCTGTATCTCTTGTAATATGATTGAAAGATGTATCACGCGAAGCTGGCTAAACAATAGTCAAGATGATACATAAGTGTAAGGGTTGTCGCTGACCCTAAAAGAGCCAAATTGAGGTAGGCTTATATTATGTTCCTATATTTCATGACTGAACAAGTCGAGTGTTATATGTCGCAAAATGCATATACTGTACATATACCTTGGATAGTTAGGGCACCAATCTACGTCTATCTACATATTTGTACTTGATTTTTTTTTTTCTTAAATTGTTTATACCCAATTATATATCTGTGCATCTATTTGCATCTATTCAACCATGCATCTCGCTGCTTTCGGAAATCAGAACCTGGCCGTACTGTGAGCAGCTTTTGTGTCTATTACAATGCACCTAGCAGTGAGCTTTGCTTTTCATTGAAGCCCATCCTAGTCAATTCTAGTGAGACAGCCTCTTAAATTCACAGAGCCAACTCTACTACTAGTACTGTGTATTCTTACTACATGCACTGAACTTCACCTACCTGTAGTGTAAGCTCTCATCGTTTCAGCAGCCTTGAGGCTAGGGAAAAAACAGCTACTAGAAGCAGTATTACCTAGAGGATTTCTTCACGGTATCTGGCCCCTCAAGTTGGTGCTTCTTTGGATCTTGAAAATGGATAGGGCAGCGTTGCTTTTCAACTAGTCGTGCTGTGGGGGCACATCCATATAAGGCGTTCACTTGACGAGAACCCGAGTTTACTCCCCAGGATATTGAGATTTAACAGAGCTAATTTGGCTCCGTACCCGAGTCATCTCTCAGTTAGAGACTGGCCATCCAAGACCCAATTGCGATACCGGAGCTAGAGGGAAAAGCGCCCAAGGGCAAACAATGAGCATGGGGGCGGCGGCTGGGCGATGGTCCGTGCCGTCACCAATTCAGTATCATACAGTAGGGCCAGGATGCATTCGATGGGACGCCAGATCCCGACTCTGCTCTACAGTAGGCTAGCGAGCCAGGACATCTGGGTTGCAAGTCTGAGTGCGGTATAGAGGAGGGTTTGTACTGGCTGCTTCCTCCACTTCCAGCTAATCGAGATATCGCTCAATTGGCCTAATAGATGTGCGGCCTAGGGCTAGAAGTCTTCCAACTGCTGGCTTGAGGCTCGCGCAGCCAACGAATGGCATTGAAGCCATGCTAGTTTAGCTGCTTCTAATTTAGCTCATCTTGATAGGTGCCATGCCATGCCGTCCAACCTGCCAGTAATACCCATTACTAGTAGAGTTACTGAAGCCAAAAGCCAATTCGCTGATTGGGCTTGGCAATCTCTCCTGGAGCCCTCCCCACAACGTCATTTCACCCCCTCCTAGTGTGGAAATTTTTCTCTTGATCAATATTCGAATGGGGCGCGTCAATCTTGAATTGGATCTGGTGGTTTATCTCTCACCTAAATCAAGAGAAACTACATCGATCCTTATCTAATCGGTGACTCGTCCGTGCCTCCAGAATCGGCCACCGCTGCTCTTTTTTGCTGCCGATTCTGGAAAGACTGCGCAACCACTTAAACCCCACTATCTGTAAGTTTTTTCTCCCTCTTTCTCCCTTTCCTCTCTTCTCCTCTTCACCAGTCAGAAGAATCATCAGTCCAATTGCACCTTGTGCATCGCGCATTCAGCTCAATTAAACTTGTCTCATCAAATATTCTAGAGTGCCTCGCGCCTCGTTTTTACATCTTTGACGTGCCGTTTCCTAATCCGCCTTTATGAACGGCCGCTCGTCGGAATTCACTTCTCAGGTATGTGGCTTTTTTTGCCCTTGATATGACTGCACGTGGTCTGCGAATTCAATTGCCACTTGTCTGCTTAAACCGACAAATGCTCGTTTCAATCTATCTTTCACAGTAATGCTAATGTTAATTGTTCTTACAGGACTATCTTTCTGGTTCGTGTTACCATGACTCACCCCTCATGATGCCATCTAACAAGCTTCATACAGACCACCTGTGGAGGGCCTTGTCAGCTTGAAACAGCTCCCCCAAAATCGATTACTGCTTCTTCTACCTGTGAATAAAACAAACAAATTAAAGGACGGTGCAACTGCAGCATTGAGCCTCTAATAACAATGCCTGCGACATTCTCTTCCGCGGCGCTAGCTGCTGCTCGAGCTCCGGTTCTGCTCCGAAACAGCACCCGCCTCCCTCGAACTCTCCCAACCCGCCTTTTCACCACCGCCGCTCTCCGCTCTCAGGCCAGAGCCTCGCTTCAGTCAAACATCCCTAAGCGTCTGGGCACAATTTCAGTTCGCCAATATTCAGCAACTGCTCAGTCTGCCCCCAACCCCAAGGCCTACCTTGATAGTGGGGTTATCAAGCCAAAGCAGAATGTCGATGTCAAGAAGGTTCTTGTCATTGGCAGTGGTGGTCTCGCCATTGGACAGGCTGGTGAATTTGATTACTCGGGTAAGTCCTCTTCCCTCGACTACTCTTCATTTTGCATATCTGCGTGCTCTTTTACGAGTCGTACTTGTCCACGTGACAAATGAAGTAAATGTCCACAGACTTGATAAAGCGTGCTGGCTAACACATTGCCTCGCAGGAGCGCAAGCCCTGAAAGCCCTCAAGGAGGCTGGTGTCGCCTCTGTCCTCATCAACCCTAACATTGCTACAATTCAAACCAACCACACTCTTGCCGACGAAGTCTATTATCTGCCCGTCACTCCCGAGTATGTTAGCTACGTTATCGAAAAGGAGAAGCCCGATGGCATTCTCCTCTCCTTCGGTGGCCAGACAGCCCTCAACCTGGGAGTCCAGATGCAGCGACAGGGCTTGTTTGAGAAGTACGGTGTCAAGGTTCTGGGAACCAGCGTAAGGACACTGGAGCTCAGTGAGGATCGAGACCTTTTCGCCAAGGCACTCGAGGAGATCAACATTCCTATCGCCAAGTCTATTGCCGTTGGTACTGTAGACGAGGCCCTCGACGCTGCCGACAAGATTGGATACCCCATCATTGTCCGCGCTGCTTATGCTCTCGGTGGTCTTGGTTCAGGTTTCGCCAACAACGAGGAAGAGCTCCGCAACATGGCCGCTCGATCCCTCACTCTTTCTCCCCAGATTTTGGTTGAGAAATCGCTCAAAGGATGGAAGGAAGTCGAATATGAAGTTGTCCGAGATGCCAACAACAACTGTATCACTGTCTGCAACATGGAGAACTTCGACCCCCTTGGAATCCACACCGGTGACTCTATTGTCGTTGCACCTAGTCAAACTCTCAGCGATGAAGAGTACCACATGCTTCGAACCGCTGCCATCAAGATTGTCCGTCACTTGGGTGTTGTGGGAGAGTGCAACGTTCAGTATGCCCTCCAGCCTGATGGTCTCGATTACCGAGTTATTGAAGTCAACGCCCGTCTTTCGCGATCTTCTGCGCTTGCTTCCAAGGCTACTGGATACCCTCTGGCTTACACCGCCGCGAAGATTGGCTTGGGACACAGCCTTCCAGAGCTTCCTAACGCTGTCACCAAGACTACCACGGCCAACTTTGAACCTTCACTGGACTACATCGTCACCAAGATTCCTCGATGGGATCTGTCCAAGTTCCAGCACGTGAAGCGTGATATCGGAAGTGCTATGAAGTCGGTTGGCGAAGTTATGGCTATCGGTCGAACCTTTGAAGAGTCTTTCCAGAAGGCTATTCGTCAGGTTGACCCCAAGTTTGTTGGCTTTCAGGGTGACAAATTTGACGACTTGGACTTTGAACTCCAAAACCCTACCGATCGCCGATGGCTCGCTGTTGGACAGGCTATGCTTCACGAAAACTACTCTGTTGAGAAGGTTCACGAGTTGACCAAGATTGACAAGTGGTTCCTGTACAAGCTTCAGAACCTTGTGGACTGCACTCGCGAAATGGAAGCTGCTGGTGGCCTTGAAGCTCTGCAGAAGGATCAAATTCTCAAGGCAAAGAAGCTGGGATTCTCTGATCGACAAATCGCAAATGCTGTTAAAAGCACTGAAGATGAGGTCCGAGCCCGCCGTCTCAGCTTCGACATCCACCCATGGGTGAAGAAGATTGATACCCTCGCTGCCGAATTCCCTGCTGATACCAACTATCTGTACACTACTTATAACGGCTCTACTCACGATGTTACCTTTGACGACAAGGGAAAGATTATCCTTGGTAGCGGCGTCTACCGTATCGGTAGCTCCGTTGAATTCGACTGGTGTGCTGTCAGCGCTACCCAGGCTCTCAGACAGATGGGCGAGAAGACAGTGATGATTAACTACAACCCTGAGACTATGAGCACTGATTACGACGAGGCCGACAGGCTCTATTTCGAGGAGTTGAGCTATGAGCGTGTCATGGATATCTACGAGCTGGAGAACTCCTCCGGCGTCGTTGTCTCTGTTGGTGGCCAACTGCCGCAGAACATTGCTCTTCGCCTTCAGGAAACTGGCGGCGCCAACGTTCTCGGAACTGACCCCAAGGACATCGACAAGGCTGAGGATCGTCAAAAGTTCTCTGAGATCCTTGATAGCATTGGCGTTGATCAGCCTGCTTGGAAAGAGCTTACCTCCGTTAAGGAGGCTGAGGAGTTTGCTGATCAAGTTGGCTACCCCGTTCTGGTTCGTCCCAGTTACGTCCTGTCTGGAGCTGCCATGACCGTTATCCGCAGCCAAGAAGACCTCAAGGATAAGCTTGAAGCCGCTGCCAATGTTTCACCTGACCACCCCGTTGTTATCACCAAGTTTATCGAGGGCGCCGAAGAGATTGATGTCGATGGTGTGGCCTCTCAGGGTAACTTGATTCTTCACGCCGTTAGTGAGCACGTTGAGCAGGCTGGTGTTCACTCTGGTGACGCCACCCTTGTCCTCCCTCCCGTCAATCTCGATTCCAGCACCATGGAGCGCCTCAAGGAGATTGCTCAGAAGGTTGCCAAGGCATGGAAAATCACCGGCCCCTTCAACATGCAAATCATCAAGGCTGAAAACCCCGAGGGTGGCGAGCCTCTGCTTAAGGTTATCGAGTGCAATCTCCGCGCTTCTCGATCGTTCCCCTTTGTCAGCAAGGTGCTTGGAACCAACTTCATTGATGTCGCCGCCAAGGCTCTTGTTGGCAAGAACGTCCCTGAGGCCACTGATCTCATGACTGTCAAGCGTGATTACGTTGCTACCAAGGTGCCCCAATTCTCTTGGACCCGTCTCGCTGGTGCAGACCCCTTCTTGGGCGTTGAGATGTCTTCCACTGGTGAAATGGCCTGCTTCGGAAAGGATCTCGTTGACGCCTACTGGACTTCGCTTCAGTCTACCATGAACTTCCGCATGCCTGAGCCAGGTGAGGGTCTGCTGTTCGGTGGTGAGATTAGCAAGACTTGGTTGACTCAGGTCGTTGACTATCTTGCTCCCCTTGGATACAAGTTGTATGCCGCTGGCAACGACGTCAAGAACTTCATCGAGACCAGCTCAAAACAAAAGGTCGACGTCGAAGTCATTGAGTTCCCCACGGATGACAAGCGTGCTCTTCGTGAAGTCTTCCAGAAGTATGACATTCGCGGAGTTTTCAACTTGGCTCTTGCCCGTGGCAAGACCACCTCCGATGTTGACTATGTCATGCGCCGAAATGCCGTCGACTTTGGCGTGCCCCTGTTCATGGAGCCTCAGGTAAGCTTATTTTTACAACCCCTGTCAAAAAAAAAAAAAAACACTGATAGCGCCCCGTACTAACTGTTGGAATAGACCGCTATTCTCTTTGCTCAGTGCATGAGCGAGAAGCTCCCTCGTCCTGAAGGCATCCCCTCAGAAGTCCGGCCTTGGTCCAACTTCATCGGCGGCAAGCCCTTGTAAATTATGTACCCTTTGCACTCTCTCGGCGTTTCTGCATAGGTGGGGTGCCCGAGAAGTAAACTGGCGTTTATCATTTATTTTGTGTACTTGTGGCCTATTTCTTTGTTTTAAAATATCATATAATGAGCCTTTGGGTTAAAAACACTAGTTTCATCTACAGACATGTGGATAGAATGAGAGTACGTCGGATACTGGGACGGACGGACGGACGGATGGACGGATGGATAAGAGAAAGATGTAGGAAGTAAGGGAAAATAGTGATGAGGCGTTTTATCTAGGATTTTCTAAAAGAAAAGATTTTTTGTCCAAAGATATTAACTTTATGCTAAAGTGCATCTACAAAAAAGCACTCGCGTTTTATAACTTGTCATTTGGTGCCATGTAAATCCATTCACGATTGGCACAGCAGTGCACAAAGGAACGTATTTCATTATCATCTTCTGACTTGAGATATGTCATCCAGTATGGCTCCTAAGATACTTCATAACCCGTTGGTGCTAATTGTCCTCAAGTACAACAAATAGATGGCAGTAAAGACGTCGACCAAATATCGAGATAATGCAGATAACAGAATCCAGAATCCCAACCCCACATTCAAAGCAACGAGTCACGTGCGAGACCTCGGCCTTCTGATCGCCGAAGCTGCAGCGTGGAAGCAGCTACCGGAGCTAGGCTCAAGCACAACAAGCTGGTTGCAGCTTATCGATTTTAGTGCCAGCAACAGCCGTTTCTTGCTGCCCCTCCCGTTCGTTAACCCTCGTCATTCCAACAACACCATTCCGGTTATAGGGAGAGAGAGAGAGAAAAAAAAACAGCCAAAGATTCGGATTTGACTGTCTTTTCCTTTTCTTCTCTTGGCGCCTCGAACGAGCTGCCCTACAATTGCAGCTTCCATCTTCTTTCCGTACCCAGTACTTGTCGCCTTTTTTGCTCTATCGAAGCTCCGTCCGATCCTGTCAAGATGCTGTCATCAGCTGCTCTCGCGGCCACTCGTCGCGTGCTCACCAGCACCGGCGCGGCAGCTCCGTTGCGCCAATCCGTCGTTCTTACAGCTCGCGCACTGGTCCTGCGTCCTGCCGCGCCCTCTCTGCGCCTGATCAGCACCTCAGCGCCTCTGCGCGCGGCTGCGTCGAAGGCGACCAAGTCCAAGTCAACAAAGAGCTCCACCAAGAAGCCGGCCAGCAAGAAGACGGCAAAGCCCAAGGCTAAGAAGCCGGCTAAGAAGAAGGCTGTGAAGAAGGCTGTGAAGAAGAAGGTCGCGGTCAAGAAGCCAAAGAAGGCGCCGAAGAAGAAGGTGTTGACGGACGAGCAGAAGGACAGGCTCGAGATTAGGAGGCTGCGACAGATGGCGCTGCTGAAGGGACCGACTTTGCTTCCGGAGACGGCATGGAACGTGTTTATGATTGACAACATCCGTGGTGGAGAAGGTAGTCTCGTGGACAAAGTCAAGGCTCTTGCTATTAGCTTCAAGAATCTGCCCGAGTCTGAGAGAGAGGTAGGCTGATTGATTCCTCCACTGATTCAATTGGTTATGAGACTTACCTTTTTCGTGTTTTCCAGCGTATGACAGCAGTCGGACAATCTAACCGGATTGCCAATCAAGAGGCGAAGAAGAAATGGATTGAGTCTTACCCTCCCGAGGCAATCCACGCTGCCAACCTGGCCCGTCGTCGCCTGGCTCGCAAAACAGACAAATCTAAAGTCTACCTGATTCACGACGAGCGCATTCCTCAGCGCACTGGATCCGGCTTCACATTTTTCATCAAAGAGCACTTCAGTGAGAATGTCGGCTCGCCTAAGGATGCTATGCGCAGCCTTAGCGAACGCTGGAAGACTCTAAGCAGCGAAGAGAAGGCCCCTTACCTGAAAAGGGCTGCTGACATTGCCGAGGTATCAGGAGCGCAGCTGAAGGAGCTGCGAGAGAAGGGCACCAAGTACTGGAAGGAGAAGCTTGCCGCGCCCAAGGAGTAAGCCAAGGTATCTGGTATTGGATGCTGATGATACTGTATGTTATAAGCGAGTAGAGGAGCTACTTTTTTTTTTTTTCTCTTTTGGGCCATGTCACTTGTCTGTATTTTTTATGGTGTATCTATCTCTTGGTTTTGGGCTGGTGATAGGAAATGGGAGGGACAATGGAAGTGCGAAAGCGAAGAAAAATAAAACGTCGGTCGGTTTCGTTTGATGATGTTTTACTTGATCTTTAGCGATGTGCCTTTTGCTGCGGACTAATGTTGTATAACGATAGACTTGGAAATTGTATGACATTGACTAAAACCTTCCCCTGAAATGATGCGTAGCAGGTACAATAAAAGTGAGAGCTCCCAAACGCCAATCTCATGAAACACGCGATGCCTTATATCAGCTAATATTTGCGATTCCAACTCCCAACCTTCGATAAAGTATTCAATGATAGCAATTCAAGTCAATCTACTTGGCAAGTAGCAGAATCATACTCCTACTGCTTCTCCGCGGGAGGCACTTCTATGGCAACTTGCCCATCGCCATCAATCCACTTCGCACCAGTTGCTTTCAAATGCCTGCCGCTCGCAAGATACAGCAGCAGATACGCATGCTTGGCGACGTGAGCCCAGCAGTAGAGGCGGATCCAGCCGTGCGATTCGTCCCGGCGACACCATACGCCCCAGCCGGCCAGACCGCTGCGAAGGTAATTGGCCAGAAAGGTCCAGGCTTCGCTGTGAGTTTCTTGAGACCAGGTGGCACAGTCGACGAACCAATAGCCCCGTTCAAAGGGATCAGTTGGACGGTTTTCTCTGGGGCGGTATCGTGATGATAGATCTCGCGCCAGTTTGTCTAGCTTGTCGGAGACCAAGTCTGAGGGCTCGAGATGCACGACTCCAGTAGGGGGGGATGGGGGCCTGATCTCCAAGTCATCTGGATCTTTGACTGCAATTGATGAAGACGCTGTTGGCTGTTTCTTCGCTGCCGGTCCGGTGTCGCTCACACTCCGATGGAGATTCGAGGCCACGGCTTCTTCATCTGCGAGTCCCTTGTGGCGTTTTGACAGAGGTGGTGCAGATTCAGCTCTGAATGAATTGGTCGCCTCTGAAGCTGTGTCAATTGCGCTGCTTGAGATGTATATGGTCTCGTCGATTACAGTTGCTGAGGGTTCATCTCGCATCCGCGCCAGAGCACCTGGTACTCGAGGCGTGACGGGGACGGCCTTGGCATCGTCCCTGTATCCAAGCGATGGACTTGCAGCTTCGTCCACGTCAGGAGGAATCGGAATAGACGACGGGATATTCACTTCATAAGCACCAACCGACGAGTCTGAGCGATCCGCTGACGAAGGCCTGGGCCGCGAGGACGAAGGCAGGCTTCTCAGATAGTGCTCCAGAACTCTTGTCGGCGTAGTGTGGCGAATCTCGGCGTCTGGCAAGGGGTAGGAATCACTGATCTGGCTTGGAGGAGCCTGCCATGAAGATGTGTGCTGAGTTGCGAGCTGAGTGGAGAGAAGCCCCTCGTCGTGGCCTTCTGGCCGAGATGCGTCTGCCGGATTGCCCTTTTCTTGCAACGGTGGTGAATAGCGGTTGTCGTAGACGCTCCGAAAGCTTAGATCTTGAGATTCAGGGACCCATGGCTGCCCCGATGGCACTGTTGCGAACCCTGTAGCTATCGGAGCTCCATCTTGAGCGGCATGTTGTTCTCTTTCATGCCGAGGCTCCAGCGACGGGGTTTTTGAGACTGCAATATGGCGATGGGGCTGGAAAGAAAGATACGACTGTGCGAGTTGCCTGTATACGGCATCGTCTGCTGTCCTGCTTGGCGCAGTAACGTGAACTAAGATTTCGACATCCGGGGCCTGACTCTCGTGTCGGGCTGCCATTGGGGGTCGAGTACTCGTGGTGGAGCTACAGGGCAGGTCATGGCGACATGGCAGAAGAGATTATTGCTCTTGTTCGTAGGATAGATGCTGCGTGTAGTAGGAAATAGCAGAAGAGCAGGTGCTGGATAATGCGGACGAAGCACGATGGTGGATCATTTATACATGTTGCAGTGGCCTCCAGAACGAGATCCTGGCTAGTAGCAGCAGCAGTAGTAGGAAATAAGCGGCGTGCTGCTGTGTGTGCACTCGCGCAAGGATGCCTGGATTCCTAGTGAAGATGGCAAGTTGCTGTTCTTGCAGTAAAGCTTTGAAGAATTATGTAGGAGGGATGGAAATGAAGTCACAAGGACGAGCTGGGTGGAAATTACACAGCACTGGTTAGGCTACTCCCCTGTTCCCCAAAAGACCACTGGACCAACCCATTAGTAGTGGCCGCAATTCGGTGCCACCACACTATTACAGCGTCGACACTACTCATCAAATGGTGTTGGCCATCCTCCTCCATCGCTCATTTACACCTCCCTACCTCTCCCCAAACAATCTTCAATCTGCCCTCTACACGCACAACCACCCGCAACAATGGCCAGTGCACTGCGAGGAGACCTCGGCAGCGTCCTCGTCATCGGCGGCAACGGCTTCCTGGGCCACCACATCGTCAACCAGGCGCTGTCCTCGTGGAACTGCACGTCCGTCACCTCCATCGACCTGCGATGCTCGCGCAACGTCAACGAAAAGGCCGCCTACCACGAGTGCGACATCACCGACGCCGCCAAGCTGACCGAGCTGCTGCAGACAATCCGGCCCGACGTCGTCATCCACACCGCGTCGCCCATCGCCAGCGGCGAGGGCAAGACGGCCCATGAGCTGTTCCGCAAGGTCAATGTCGGCGGCACAAAGGCCGTCATCGAGGCCTGCCAGAAGTCGGGCGTCAAGGCCCTGGTGTACACCAGCTCGGCCAGCGTCATCAGCGATAACGAGACGGACCTGTTGAACGCGGATGAGGACTATCCCGTCATTCGGGGCGTGCAGCAGAAGGAGTACTACTCCGAGACCAAGGTGCGCCAATCTCGTGCTAGAGTATCCTGTGTCCTTGAATCTTTGACACACAACTGACCAATTTCTCTTGCCAGGCGGCTGCCGAAGAACTCGTCATCAAGGCCAATCGCCAAGAGTCTTCCAAGCTCCTCACCACCTCCATCCGCCCCGCAGGCATCTTCGGCGAGGGCGACGTCCAGACCCTCGCCGGCTTCCTCAGAGCCTACAAGAACGGCAAGTCCAACGTCCAGCTCGGCGACAACACAAACATCTTTGACTTCACCTACGTCGGCAACGTCGCCCACGCCCACCTGCTCGCCGCCCGTCTTCTGCTCGCCACAGCCGCCAGCAGCATCATCCCCCTGAGCTACGAGCGCGTCGACGGAGAAGTCTTCTTCATCACCAACGACTCGCCCGTTTACTTTTGGGACTTTGCCCGCGCCGTCTGGAAGGCTGCGGGCAACGACAAGGGCACCGAGGGAGTCTGGCAGATTTCACAGGGCTGGAGCATTGTCCTCGGCTCGCTGAGCGAGGTCTTCTTTGGCATCATCAACAAGCCTCCTACTTTCACAAAGCTGAGGGCTGTGGTGTCTACCATGACACGGTACTACAACATCAGCAAGGCCAAGCGGGTGCTGCGGTATGAGCCTTTGTGGACGCTTCAAGAGGGAGTTGACAGGGGCGTCGGGTGGTTTCTGGAGCAGGAAAAGAAAGATGTCAAAGCCCAGTGATTGGATGGAACCGGTTTGTTTTTAGCATTTCAAAAAAAAAAAAGGGAAGTCGTTGACCCAGTGGTGATGGAAAATGAGACGGAAATTTGAACAAGGCATCTACAAAGTATTATATACCCATCGATGTCGTTGATGAGTGTCATGATCTAAATGCACATACAACATGTTTTATATAGCCATGTGTGTTCATGTAGAAGCATACAAGTAATTATTTAATACGTATCTATTTAATAAAGAAAAAATGATTAATTTCAATTTTGGATTTTTCAATTCGGGCAAAAGAATCCATATATGCGAACATGAAACACGGGTTACATCTGTTCTTAAAAGCTGGCAGTTGCACATATTCCACGACATGGACAAATGTCAAGAGCAGAATTAAAGCGGCAAAATGTTTAATTGCAAATTCTTCCACATCATTCCGTCCTAACGCTCCATTTCTGTCCCTTTACCTTTGCAGGAGAGAATGAAAGAACAGCGCGTCTCCCTATCCAACACACCAATGTCCTCCAAGTCTCCTCTCTCCTTCTCAAAAAGTCACCAATATTTCAAACAACATGAGATGAAAAGGGAACAAAGCAAGACTGCCTCAATTTTTGTAGAAGAAGATGCAAATTTCCTTTTACAATCATCAGTTCCCCTCCCTTTACTCACCACCATAGCATTGTCAAATTTTAATTCCCAAATGTTATTCAATCGACCTCCTTTCTTTTCCATTCTCTCTTTCATTTCTGTAACAGCTATTTCCTAGCTTTTCTTTCTTCTAGACACCAAAGAGTATGCCTTCCTTCAAAAACGCATGCATCATCGACAAAAAGAATTCAAGGCTATCATCTCCTCTTACAACACGGAGAGCAGGAAAGGAAAGGAGGAAAAGGTATAAAATAAAAAGGGATATTTGAACAAAACAGCGGACAATTCGTCTCTCTGAACTTCTTATTCCATACAACCACTAAAAAAACAACCACCACAAAGTACTAAGCATTTTGCAAAGGGCGGAGGCTCGCTCGCTCGCTCGCACACAGATGCTGTTGCTGCGTTTGCTATAAAAAAAACTACTACCAAACCACATCCACATCCACATCCAACTTTCGCTCATACAAAAAAACCAACTTTTCTGTCTTTAGAATGCCAACCAGGACCGTCTTTTTTTGGAAAGAAAAAAGGGGGAGAAAAATATTTTAGGTCAAGAAACAAAAAAAAATGTCCTTCTTTGCAGCGACTTTTTTTTTTTTTCTTTTATCCAGTCACTCTGTTATGACAAGTAAAAACACCCATCTTTGCGATACAACCTCTCTATACATTTAGGTCATGGGAACGACTTGAAAGGAATATGATAACGGAGAAGCAAAGAAGGAGAAACGGAGAAACTGAGAAGAATGAAGAGAAAGAGAAACAAAGAGAGAAAAAGGTAAGACTAACGAAAGACATAGCATCGCCAGGATTGTCGTATCGAACATCAGAGTAAGAAAGTTCGGTCTTAACTGTTTGCAGTGAAGATGGACAAAAGTAATCGACAAACGCCTGGAGAAATGCTACAAAAACACTGTTTCCGGGCCACGCTTCCTATGTAAGGAAACAACAAAAAAGAGACATACCATACAGATCTTCCCCAGCTTCTTGCCAAATCAGTAGAAAAGCTCAAACAGTTAACCAGAAAATCAAAATGGTTCGCCAACACCTACCCCGCCGCCTTGGCGGCCCCAAACGCCAGAATTCCGCCACTCTCCCCGTTTACTATGCTCAGGGTTCTCTGAACGAGGATCAGGATGATCCATTTGATTGCCATCATAGGGAGAGGGCTGGTCTTCCGGGGGTCTGAACCGTGGCGG